TTTCATCCCAGATATCCCTTAATCTTGTGCTGCTTGATAAATTCAATTATGTGCCAATCGCTGCATTCAGATATTAATTCCACTTCATTTATGTCATACCACAAAATTGCAAAAGAATTGATGGAATACTTGCTTTAGAAAGCAAAGGGTACATATTGAGAAGTTGCAATACCAAGGTATGATTATTGTCAAATATTAATTTCCAGGACAACTGGAATTCTGCTGGAACAGCTGTTATGGTTGGATTACAGTAAAGTTTGCTGAGACTCCAAGATTTTGGTCTCAATAAGAAAACTTCCATTTATGGGGGTTCAAAAAGCCTTGAAAGCTTTGCTCTTATAAAAATATGCTACTACAGTGAAATTACTAAAATATTCTTCTGAATTTCAAAAAATGGTCTTCAAAATCCTAAATATTCCTAAAAATACCAAATCTCATAGTCACAGTTGTGTCACATTAAATTTTCTGGCAGTTTAATGGGATTTTGAAATCAATTTCTGTTCTTTTGAAATCAATTTCTGTTCTTTTGAGATCAATTTCTGTTCTTTTGAAATCAATTTCTGTTCTTTTGAGATCAATTTATGTTATTTTGAAATCAATTTATGTTCTTTTGAAATCAATTTATGTTATTTTGAGATCAATTTATGTTCTTTTGAAATCAATTTCTGTTCTTTTGAAATCAATTTATGTATTTTGCCCCGTGCCCAGCCAGGGAGGGTTTTCCTGCTCCATGGTGTTGCATTTTCCAGGAATTACTTTCTCTAAAGCCATTTCTTCTGAGCACAGCTGGGATTTTCACTTCAGTCAGATGTCACATTTCTCCAGCTCTGATCAGTGGTGGAGAGTTCCCTTAAAAAACCACAAAAACAACCCAAACCTCAAGCAGCACAAGAGCACCACAGAATTCCCCTCAGAAACCACCCCAAGTGCCCTGAGCTCCAGGGTGCATTCCCAGCTTCTGAATTCCAGGCTGTCCCAGGGCTCTCAGCTGCTCAAAGCTGCTCAAAGCCAGCAGAAACTGAGACTGCAGAATCCTGGGAAGGGTCCTGGTTTTACCCCCTTGGTGCCAGAATTGTCTGTGGGGCACTGACAGAGCTCTGGGCATGCTGCAGTGACAGTCTGGGCACAAGCCAGGCCTTCCCAAAGCTTTATCCCAAATAAAGCTTTTTACCCCCTTGGTGCCAGAATTACCTGTGGGGCACTGACACAGCTCTGGGCATGCTGCAGTGACAGTCTGGGCACAAGCCAGGCCTTCCCAAAGCTTTATCCCAAATACTCAGGGATGGGGAGAGCAAACATTCCTCAAGAACAACCAACACCTTCCTAGGCTGTGCAGGGACAGCTCATCCTGCCTGGGGCAGGGCTGGATGGGATCCTGGGGAGCAATTCCTGCCTGGGATGGGATCCTGGGGAGCAATTCCTGCCTGGGAGGGGCTGGATGGGATCTTGGGGAGCAATTCCTGCCTGGGATGGGATCCTGGGGAGCAATTCCTGCCTGGGATGGGATCCTGGGGAGCAATTCCTGCCTGGGATGGGATCCTGGGGAGCAATTCCTGCCTGGGATGGGATCCTGGGGAGCAATTCCTGCCTGGGATGGGATCCTGGGGAGCAATTCCTGCCTGGGATGGGATCCTGGGGAGCAATTCCTGCCTGGCAGGGGCTGGGATGGGACTCCCAGTGGCTGCCCCTGGAGTGTCCAAGGCACCCTGGGTAGTGATAATGCTCCTTAAGGCCCCTTCCACCCCAAAAAGTGGGGTTTGCTGTGCATGAAGAGTTCTCAGCCTGCTGTCAGTAATTTTTCAATGCCAGGGCCTTTTTGCCATCCCTGTCTCTTCCACAGCAGAATTTTGGGATGGGATGTGGTGGCTGGATCCCAAAGCTGCCTCATTCCCCTTGAGCACTGTCCCAGTGCCCCACAGGCCCAGTCCCACCTCTGGGGCTGGGATCCCTGCTGGGGTCAGCACTTTGTGCCACAGCTTTGGGGAGCAGGAGCCAGTCCCACAGGGAATGTTCTGGAACACAGCACATGGCAGTTACCTCTGCAGGATCTTGTTTCTAGAGCACAATTGCAGGAAAAGCCCCATGAGTAGGTGAAACCTTCCCTTTACCAGGCAGTTGGAAAACCCTGTTAAAAACTCCAATCCATGTGTGCCAGAAGAGCTCAGGTCAGAGCTGTGCTAGAGGCTCAGCTGTGTTCCTGCTTTTAGACAATACAGGGGTTGTGGGCAAATTCAGAATTTTAATTAATTTCAGAACTTTAATTAATTAAATTTAATTAATTTAATTAATTTAATTAATTAATTTAATTAATTTAATTTAATTCAGAATTTTAAACCAGTGCTGGAACGTGCTGCTGATGTTGCCAGTCCTGAAACTTCTTTTAAACTTTTCCTCTTTACTTAGATACAATAGAAAATTAAATCCTTAAATTGAGGAAGTATCTTAAACATCAGAGCTGTAAATGATTTAGCTGTGCAAAGAAACACAGGTTGCAAATGGCAGGAATTTATTCCTCATGCTTTTCACCAGAGCAGCCAGTTGCAGCTGAGGAGGGCTCTTCCCTTATTTTACAGCCTGCTCTGTCCTGCTTTGCCCAGGGCTCAGCTGATGCCTGGGGGATGTTTCCCCAGAGGAGCTGCTGCTGTAGGATTCCCCATGGGTGCTCCTGGCAATTCTGTGCAGCTGAACTGCTGGGATGTGTGTGCCTGCTGCAGAGCTGGGGCTGGCCCCGTGGATCCACGGGGATGGGGAGGGCTCCACATGCTGCAGAAGCTGGGATTGTGTTTGTAATTCCATGCAGAGCTCTTGCACTGAGTGTAGAACCTTCCCACAGGGCTTGGTGGGTATGGAAATGTGGAACCCTGGCATGGTTTGGGTGGGAAGGGACCTTAAACCCCACCCAGTGCCACCCCAGCCATGGCAGGGACACCTCCCACTGTCCCCAATGTCCAGCCTGGCCCTGGGCACTGCCAGGAACCCAGGGCAGCCCCAGCTGTGCCAGGGCCTGCCCACCCTGCCAGGAACAATTCCCCATCTCCCACCATCCCTGCCCTTTGGCAGTGGGAGCCATTCCCTGTGTGCCCCTCCCTCCCTTGGGAACAGCCTCTCCATCTTCCTGCAGCTCCCTCAGGCACTGCAAGGTCTCAGTTCAGGCACCCTGGAGCTTCTCCAGCCCAGACCCAAGGCTGGAGTGTCCCAGGAATTTCCTGCCCCGTGTTCAGGTTTGCTTGGTCCCCGTTGGCATCGCCCATGGCTGGCTCTTGGCATCCATTTTGGTTGTGTGAGCAGAGCCTCATTTCCTGCCTGTTGTACCCATGCTCCCTGCCCTGGCTCCCTGAGCCACAGCAGAGCAGCTGAGGCAGCAGTGGCAGAATCCAGGGGTTCTGCTGGAGCCTGGCACAGCTGCAGGGGCCGTTCTGGGGAGCTCTGAGCCCCTGCCCTCCCTGCTCCTCAGTGCCTGCCTGCCCCTCCTTGCTTTCACTTTCACAACCAGGGCAGCTCTGCAGGCACCGAGAGCAAGGAGCTCTGGGGCTTTTAAATTCACTGGTCAAATAAGGGATCAAGCAATGAGCACTGGTAAGCAGTTAGGAAACACAAAAATGGAGTTTTAGCAGCTGTAAAATCTGTTTGCTCTGTTAATCACTGGCAAGAAGAGCAGGTACAACCTTTTCACTCTCCTTTATCAAGTCAAGGAAACTTTGAATTTCTTTTCTGGAAAAATATTTTTAATTTTTTCTTTTTGTTTCTTAAATCTGGGCTGCACTAAACAGATTTCTTTATATATTAACTGAATAGTATATATATTAAATAATACTTCATACTCTTATTATTTAATTAATAATTTCTAAATACACTTATTTTTGCCTTCAGTAAGAAAATAATTCAAGAACTCACATAGAGAAACCCCACAACTGCACCATCATCTTTCTTAGAGGTGGTTAATTGTATTTAGCCAAAGAATAGAAATTTGATTAATTCCTTGCTTGTCCATAATTGCCATTTTCCCCTGTTAAATCCAAGGTGGGTTTGTGCTTTCCAGCACTGAACACCAGGCTGTGAACCCAGTGTAGAAACCTCTCAGTGCTGACCAGCTTGACTGAGTTCAATCTTGCTGGGATTGTTTCCTGGTGGATGTGAACAGAGGAAATGCTGCAATGCCAGGAGCAGAAAGGCTGCTGACAATCAGAGGCACTGGGAGCCTGCACAGACCCTCCCCAAGGCAGTTCTGGGGACAGAATCCACACCTTGGTGGCAAGGGAGCAAACTGGGCCTTACACAATCCAGCAGCAGTTATCCACAAATTGAGTGTTCTGCTTTTTGAGATGTGCCACAAATAAAAACGAGAGTTGGGTTTTCAGTAGCACAAACTGTCCTTGTCACTGGCTCTGTTTAATCCCTTCTAAATCTTCTTTCTGAAAATTGAAATTATTTTTAATACCACCTTAACATGATACATAAAGGGAAATGACACAAAGGAACCCTCATCCCAAAGAATCCTTTTCTTTCTCCACCAAGGAAGCCTCAATTTAATTAATTCCAATTCCAATTGATCCAGCAGCCAGGATTTTATGGACTTTGTGTTTCTAAAGAGACCCTTCAGGGACTTCAATCCTGATTGAACTCTCTTGCCAAGGACCTGCTTTATTCTCTTCTTCTCTTTTTAGGTTGTGGAAACACATTTTGAATCTTTAGAGAATGAAGCAACGATCAGACCTGAAAGGTGGCTCCACTTCACCTTGGAGAGAAAATTTCTCTTTATTCTGATCTTTGTTTTCCCAAATAAATGTGAAGATTGGACTTGATCTTGGAGACCTTTTCCAACCTTAATGATTTTGTGATATTCCAGTTTGAATAATTTTAATCGCTGCTTTATTTTATTCTTTTCTTGTAACATCTCATACTCATTCCATAGATTTTTTTTTTCAGAATACTTTCCCTATCCCAAAAAACCCAAAAAAAAACAAACTAAGAAAAGACCCACCAAACTTTTGTTTCCCAAGGGGGAGGTGGAGCAGATTGCCATGATGAAGCCCAAGGGGCAGACGGAGCACGACGAGGGGATGCTGGAGTACCTGGAGGATCTGATCGGATCCGCGCGGCTCAAGGAGCCCATCCACACCCTGTGCCGCCGGGTGGAGCTGCTCAACGAGCAGCGCGGCGAGAAGGTGAGAGAGGGAGCGGTGCTGGGATGGGACATGGACCCTGGGTATGGAACCGGCCCCGGGAGCGGCTGCTGGGGTGGGACATGGACCCTGGGTATGGAACCGGCCCCGGGAGCGGTGCTGGGGTGGGAAATGGACCCTGGGTATGGAACCGACCCTGGGAGCGGCTGCTGGGGTGGGACAGCAACCCTGGGTATGGGAGCGGCCCCGGGAGCGGTGCTGGGGTGGGACAGCAACCCTGGGTATGGGAGCGGCCCCGGGAGCGGTGCTGGGGTGGGACATGGACCCTGGGAAAGGAACCGGCCCTGGGAGCGGTGCTGGGGTGGGACAGCAACCCTGGGAAAGGATCCGGCCCCGGGAGCGGTGCTGGGGTGGGACCGACCCTGGATATGGAACCGACCCTGGGAGCGGCTGCTGGGGTAGAACCAACCCTGGGAGCGGCTGCTGGGGTGGGACCGACCCTGGGTATGGAACCGACCCTGGGAGTGGCTGCTGGGGGTGGGACAGCAACCCTGGGAGCGGCAGCTGGGGTGGGACAGCAACCCTGGGAGCGGCAGCTGGGGTGGGACAGCAACCCTGGGAGCGGCAGCTGGGGTGGGACAGCAACCCTGGGAGCGGTGCTGGGGTGGGACAGCAACCCTGGGAGCGGTGCTGGGGTGGGACATGGACCCTGGGAAAGGAACCGGGCCCGGGAGCGGCTGCTGGGGTGGGACCGGCCCTGGGAGCGGCTGCTGGGGTGGGACAGCAACCCTAGGAAAGGAACCGGCCCTGGGAGCGGCTACTGGGGCTGGGACAGCAACCCTAGGAAAGGAACCGGCCCTGGGAGCGGCTGCTGGGGTGGGACAGCAACCCTGGGAGCGGTGCTGGGGTGGGACCGGCCCTGGGTATGGAACCGGCCCTGGGAGCGGCTGCTGGGGTAGAACACCAACCCTGGGAGTGGCTGCGGGGTGTGGAACCGCTGGGATAGAACCGACTCCGGGAGCGGCCGCTGGGGCGGCTCCTGGGGGTGGAACATCAACCCTGGGAGCGGAACCGACCCCGGGAGCGGCCGCTGGGGTGGGACCGGCCCTGGGAGCTGCAGCGCCAGCCCTGGGAGCAGCCGCTGAGGGAGCCTGGAGAAAAGGAGACTCAGGGCTGCCCCCATCACTCTCACAGCTCCTGAAAGGTGCCTGTGCTCAGCTGGGGCTGGGCTCTGTCTCCAGCAGCACTGACACAGCCAGAGCACACAGCCTCGAGCTGCACCAAGGTTGGATAGCAGGGAAATGTTTTTACAGAAAGGGAGATAAAGTTCTGGAATGGCTGCCCAGGGAGGTGGTGGAGTCCCCATGCCTGGGTGTGTTTAACAAAGCCTGGATGTGGCACTGGGTGCCAGGGTTCAGTTGAGCTGTTGGGGCTGGGTTGGAGTGGATGGTCTTGAAGGTCTCTTCCAACCCAGTGACTCTGTGAACTGGGACATCCCAAACAAATCACAGCCTTTCTGCACACAGCCCTGTGGGGAACTCAAAATACACAGAATTACTGCTGATGCCTCAGGTTTGAGCTTTTCTGTGTTTCACATTCTGTGCTGCTTCAGTCTGTGGGTCTGAGCTTCATATTATGGGATGGTGAGCTCTGTGCACAGAGCAGGGAGACAAAACAATTCCTGCTCCAGCTGGGCACCAAGGACAAATGATCCAAATCTCAGCCCCAGGAGCACAAACCCCGTGGGCTGGAGAGAGAAAAACAAGCAGGGTGGGACTGCAGGGGCTAAAGCTGGGATGGGACAATGAACTGCAAGGTGCAAATGGAGCAGAACTGATCCAAGGCAGAGAGCCCGGGAGCGCTGGTGCATTTTGGGGCCATTTTGGTTCATCTTGGGTGCAGCCCTGGCTGGGCTCTGGTGCTGCCCAAGGTGGATCCATGGAGGAGATGCTTGGAATGAATCCCTGCTTTATTCTGGAACTCTGTTTTAGGGCAGCCTTCTCAAGGCATCACTGCTACCCTTAAAAAATCATACTTTTGTAGCATTTTATTGGTGTACTGAAAGGACTAAGGACTAAATAAAGGGTCTAAGCTCTAAATAAAATCAGTTTGTTTTCCTTGATGTGTCCATGGCAAATCCTGTAGCAGACTTGTTTTAAAAACAAACATCCATCACCTGTAGGTGTAGGAATTAAATTAAAACTGGCCAGTCAGAAGGCTGAGATAAAGGAAATCACCATAAAATTGCCTTGCAGAGGTAATTCCTGATACCATTTTTCCAGAGGATTCATGTCCTACAAAGGGTTTGGAATTTTCTCCTCATGGTTTCTTCCTGTAGTGCTGGCCCTGCCTCATCTCTGCCCCTCTGTTTTCTCCAGTTAAATCGAGTTAAACTGGTGGAGAAAGAAAAAGATGCCTTGGAAGAGGACAAGAATAAAGCCATTGAGTTCCTCTGCTTGGAAAACCAAATATTTAAGGAAAAGAATCAGATGTGTCAATATTACATGTAAGTAATTCTCAGGGTTTGGGTTGGCTTTTATGTGGTGGGGCTGCTGTTAAACTTTGCTTCAGTATCTCTAATTAGAAATATTTTCCATTTCTAACTCCAAATTATTGTTAATTTTTGATATTTTACATAATTCTGTTGTTACACTGAGAATCAGAACTAGAGATTCATTGTGGAGATGGAGAAAAGTGAGGATTTATTGTTTTATTTTCCTAGCCATGACCTAAAGAAACGAATCAATGACCTGGAAATGCAGAAGGAGAAAATTAATGAAGAAACCAAAAGTATTAATGAGAAAAGCAGTAAACTTGCAGAGGAAACAAAAACCAAGAACAAAGCTTTGAAAGAACTTGAAAAGTGAGTACTTTAGGGATGTGCAGGACTGTGTTTTACGTGTTTCTCACCAAAAAATTAAATTATCTGATGACCAGAGTCACTTATGGTACATCTAAATACACAAAGAAGCATTTGAATTAAATGCACAAAAATAAATTAAATGCACAAAACTAAATTAAACCAAATTCACATAGGTTTGATACGGTTCTGGGTAAGGTACACAGTTACAATAAGGAAATGTCTGATCTTTTTAATAGATTTAAAATGTTTCTTTATATTTGCTGTACAAAAAAAGAATTAGTCAATGCTTTTTATATTTACAACCCTAATGCTTAGGGACACGAATTTGGGAATTTTTCCCTGGTTTCCTCATGAATCATTTATGCATAAATTGTGTTTCTTGAAATTGCTTTGCCTGAGTGCTGATTCCTAATCCAGCTGCAATATTGACCTGCTCATCCTCAGGAATACTGGGGAGAGATGAGAATTATTAATTCTGTCAATTGAAAAATGAAAATTTCTAAAAAGATGTTGAATATTGCTTGGGTAGTTGATCTTTTTCTGATAGAACATCATTTTCCCAGGGAAAATACTGGGAATATAGGGAATATTGGATGTTGTTAATCACAAAACCTGAGTAATATCAGCTTAAATTCTCCATGTTGACTTATTAAAGCAACCTTAATAAGCCTTATTTTTATACTATATGAAATCATTATTTTTTCTTTTTTTCCTCCAGGAAATGCAATAAAATTACAAAGTTCATAGAGGAAAATAAAGAAAAATTCACCCAGTTGGATTTGCAGGATGTGAAAGTGAGGGAGAAACTCAAACATGCCAAGAGCAAGGCTAAAAAACTGGAGAAGCAGCTTCAAAAGGACAAGGAAAAGGTAGGGGCTTGGATCAGCTGGATTGGCTTGGAAAAGTGCAATAAATTGTGGAGAAAATGGGAAGGGCACAAAGGAGGTGGAAAATGGGGCTGGAATTGTTTTAATTAGATTTTTTTTTTTATTGTTTTAATTAGATATTTTAAACCATTAAATCAGCCCAGGTTTTGTTTGCTCATCACTCACTGCAGCGATGACTCCATGAGTGGAGTTAATTCATGGAGCTGTGCCACCCCCTTGTCACTGGCAGCTCTGGGGCTGCCTTTGGATGCAGGAGGGATTCAGGAATTGCTGCCCAGGGGCAGGCAGAGTGTCTGTCTGTCTGTCTGTCTGTCTGTCTGTCTGTCCCTGCCCACACACGGGTACGGTGCTTCTGGGGCGCCCGCGCTTCAAAGGACGAGTCTGGACTCTTCAGTTTCTCGCTCTTCAGATTGTTTATTATTTCTTACCTACAGAATTTCCTTTCTGCCCAGCAGAGATCTGACCTGCAGGGCAGCCAAGGGCACTCTGCCCACCCACGGCGTGGTTGTGTCTTTTTATACTAAAATCTACATACATCATATTGACCTTTATTTCCCAATACCTTTCACCCATGTTAGCAAGTGCACCTTCACCATGGACCCATCCCCAAGTGCCAACATCCCCACAGAAAATGGAGGACAAGAAGAAGAAGAAAGAAGACGGACGAGACACGCCCTGATCCCTCCATCTTGTCTCCACAACCCCCCTGTACCAAAACCCTAAAATCTGTATTTCACCTGTAATTACATCTTTTTTGCACCCTTCACTCCCATGTGACTCTCACATCCTCAAACAGGTGTTACCTCCTTAGAAGGATTGAAATCAAGCCACCAGACACTCCTGGCAACACTCCAGGATTTCTGTAAAATCCTCTGGGTAACTCTGGACATCGGGAGTGATGTGCTGGGTTCCCACAGCAGAGGAGGCTCAGAGCCCTTTCCTGTGCAGGTGGAGGAGCTGCAGAACGTCCCCTCCACGAGCGCCAAGGCCATCGAGGACGCCACGGCCAAGAAGGAGCTGCTGGCAAAGGCCAAGGACAAGGAGGAGGCCAAGCTCAGGCAGGTCCTGGCCAGCCTGCAGGAGGAGACCAAGGGAATCCAGAAGGAAAAAGAGGTTTGGACAGGCAGGAATCACCCACCTGCTGTGACTTCCCCCTTCTGAAGGAAACCAGCAGCAGGCACTTGTAAAATGCCACTTATTGACAATTCCACTGTTCCTCGTGGTAGTTCAGAGGAGCCTTGGTGGGAAATTCATCTTAAATTAATAATTACAGCTAAAGCCTTGGCTGCTTTTTGAGTGCTCAAACATCACCAAGTAGCTCATTCACAGATTTAATATAAATAATACACTCTGATTGGCTGCCACCAAAACATTTCAGCCAATGGTGTTGCTTAAATAAATGAAGATATTCTGGAATGGTCTGTTCCCAGCCTCTCCCACACTGTCTGTGAATTAATGAACAACTGCTTTAACATTTGGTTATTGGTGGTCTTGTTCAGTGCCTGCAGGCTGGAAATTTATCCTGTAAATTTACAGGGCTATTTTCTTGAAAAGGTGGATTCTCCATGGATTTGAGCTGTAATTTAGCTCAGTGTGTAGGGCTCCTCCCACCTTTTGAGAAAACCATCCAAAGCTTGTATGGAAATGCTCTGTGATACCTCCCTGACATTCTTCATAATTAGGAAAAGCCTCATGAATGAAGCCCCAGCCATTCATGTTGATTAATGAAGAAATGCTGCTTCTCCCAGAGAGCAGAGGCGTTTCCTGTCCCATGTCCTGTTCCTGTGCCCAGCTGAGCTGTGCCTGTGTGCCTGCAGGGCAAGGAGAAGGAGCTGATGGAGTTCAGCAAGGAGGTGACCGAGAGCCGCTCCAGCATGGAGATAGCACAGGCAGAGCTGGAGCTCTACCTGAGCAAGTACAACTCTGCCCTGGCCCAGCTCAGCCAGGCCCAGGAGGCCCTGGACAGCACCTCCAGCACCCTGAAGGAAAGGAAAGCTGCCATCAAAGACATCGCTGGCAAATTACCCCAGGCTGAGCAGCAGCTCAAGGAGGTGAGACTTGACTTTCCCATTTCATTTTGAGTCACACACAAACCAAAGGCTCACTCTTCTCTTTGGAATAATCATGGGGAAAATAAACCATGACCCATCTCCTCTAAAACATCCCTGAAAAGCTGCTTTCTAATGCTCACTTTGCTGCTGGAGCAAATACTGGATTTCAGACTTAATTTGTGAAGCCAATGTTGACTTAACTTAAATTCTACATATCCTTGCAAAGGAACAGATTTAATTTGACACTGAGATGTGGCTGCACTCCTGAGCCTTCCTCAGGCTGCTGAGGCCCTGGCACAGGTGCCCAGAGCAGCTGAGGCTGCCCCTGGATCCCTGGCAGTGCCCAGGGCCAGGCTGGACACTGGGGCTGGAGCACCTGGGACAGTGGGAGGTGTCCCTGCCACCCAGGGGTGGCACTGGGGGAGTTTGCATGTCCCTCCCAGCCCAAACCATTCTTTGAATTTCATTTCCTGCTCCTCAGTCATTCCCCAAAGAACAAAGCCATGCATTATTAAAGGCTCCCTGAATCCAGTCGATTTTGGGAGGCTGAGCCAATGTCTTTGACCCCCAGAAAGAGAATGCTCTGGAGAAGCTGGGAAAGGAGGAATCCGGGGCCAAGGATCTCGTGCGAAACCTGCGCCGAAAAGTGGAGGAAGCCAAAAGTTCTCTGGCACAGAGTCGCAGCCGAGGAAAAGTGCTGGAGGCTCTGCTCCAGCAGAAGAAATGTGGGAACATCCCTGGCCTCTATGGAAGGCTGGTAAGTGCTAGAGGCTGTTACAGTTCTAGTGTTGAACTTGGGAGGAGCTGAGTGGTGCTCCTGGGATGAAGTGGGGATGCCTCACTTGCCTGGCATCAGGAGTTTGGAGAGGGATCCCTGACTTCCCTGGCATTAGGAATTTGGAAAGCAGAGCTGTAAATCCTGTGGACTTGCTGTAAAATCAAACATTTTTCATTGCTTTCCAAGCAATGTTGGTTTAAAGTTCTGAACATTCAGAACTGAGCTCTTCATTCCTGGTGCACATCAGTGTAATTGTAAAAGTGCTGGGTTTGTATTCTGCCATTTTTTGTCCCAGGAGATTTATCTCTGCTTCAGAAGAATCAGTTTATTCTGATTTTAAGAGTGCATTGATGGATTTCCTGGGACACAACTCAAAGAGCAGCTCAGGTGCCAGCTAATGAGTGTTTGCCCCTCGTCCCTCCATCCTCAGGGAGACCTGGGAGCCATCGATGACAAGTACGACGTGGCCATTTCCTCCTCGTGTGGAGCCTTGGATCACATTGTTGTGGACACCATTGACACTGCCCAGGCCTGTGTGAACTTCCTGAAGGCTGGAGGGATTGGAGTTGCCACCTTTATAGCCCTGGACAAGGTGAGAAAACAAATCATTTTACTCTTGATTGCAGTTTAATCACATTTCTTTTAAAGCCTTAACATGCCATAGCATAACAGGATGACCTCAGCATTTATCCCAAAGGCTGATTCCTTGATTTCCTCTGTGGGTGTAGATGGCTGTGTGGGAAAAGAAAACACAGAAAATCCCAACTCCAGAGAACGTGCCACGGCTCTTTGACCTGGTGAAGGTGGAGGACCCCAAGGTTCGCCTGGCCTTCTACTTCGCTCTCAGGGACACTCTGGTGGCCAAAAACCTGGAGGAAGCCACCAGAATAGCATTCCAAAAGGAGAAAAGGTGGAGGGTGGTGACCCTGCAGGGACAAATCATCGAGGTGTCAGGTACTGCAGCTCCAGCTGGAGCTCCATTGGAAGCACTTTGTGGGTGATACCGCAGCCCAAGGAGCTCTCTGAGCTCTTTTTCTCCCTTTTTCTGTAGGAACCATGACTGGTGGGGGAGGAAAAGTCATGAAGGGCAGAATGGGCTCCTCAGTCGTGATGGATATCTCAGAAGAAGAGGTGAGTACATCATGGAAATGGAATTCCAGCAGAATTCCTTCATTTGGGCACACATGTGCCTTTCCAAGCACCACGAGCAGGAGCAGTCTGGGATGGAAGAGAATTATTCATGTTCACAAAGCCAAAATTCCCAGTGGTAGCAGAGATTAGAATGCTTTGAAGTGCATCAGGGGTAAAAGGGTTGTCACTGGCAGGGGCTGCCAGGGAGGTTTGGAGTCCCATCAGTGCTCTGGGTTGGGGACAAGGTGGTGACCAGGTACAGGCTGGACTCCATGGTCCTGGAGGGCTTTTCCAGCCTCAGGGTTCTGTGTTTGTTCATTATTGAATTCAGTCTCACAGTGCTCCCATTGGTAGCTTGGACACCATTTTGGCAGAGCAGGATAGAGTTTGCTTTTCCTTCTGAGTTCCATTTAGGTTTTAATCTGGAGCTGCTCCTCTTGTTTCTCACTGGCACAGCTGATGTTCCCAGCACTCAGACTCCCCGAGCTGAAGTTTTTACTGCACTTTCTCCTGTGTTTTAAGAGTTACTGAGCACAGGGATGAGCCAGGCTTGGTTTGTCATGGTGACATCAGTAAATAATGCTCTCACTGTGTGTAGATCAGCAAGATGGAATCCCAGCTGCACAGGGATTCCAAAAGAGCCGCGCAGCGCGAGGAGGAGAAATCGCAGCTTGAGGAAGCCATAAGGAAACTGCAGCAGGAGATCCGGGAGATGAGGAACACCTCAGAGAAATACACAGCGAGCATCCAGGTGAGAGCCCTGAGCACTGCCCAGCCCCAGCCAGCCCTGGCTGCTCTCAGGGACTTGCCAAGGACAGATCCCAGCCCGGTGTTGTGTTCTCTGCAGGGATTTTCTGAGCAAGAAATTGATCTCAAAAATCAAATCAAGGAACTCAAAGCCAACGTCGCTGCTGCCGCTCCAGACAAAACCAAACAGAAGGAGTTGGAAAAAGTCCTTGATGGTTATAAAAAAGGTACATTTTGTGGAGGGGGGATTTGAGATAAAAGATGTAGTAATCTCTTTTAGCAGTAGAGGAACGAATGGGTTTGGGTTTGTGCTTCAGTTCCCTGTCATGGTTTGGGACCTCGTTTTTCTAAAGTGTTTCTAGAGATCAGAAAGTAAAACCTCTTTTCTTTGTAATTGCTCAAGTTCATGTTTTAGCCAAGCTAAAGTAAACATTAATTTCAGTATTTTGTTTCTTTGCTTAGATTTTTGTGGTTGTATCACACGTTCATAGGGAAACTTAGTTTAATTAGGGGTAGGAATTCTTAATAAGGAGGCAATGCTATAAAAGGCAAGTGAAGGTTTTTGCCAGGCTCTAACCAGGCAGAGTCTTTAAAATAAATCCCTGTATTATGTGTGGGAACACATCCCTCTTGTGCAGTGATGCTGTTCAGCAGGGTCAGGAACCTCTCATTCACACCAGCTCCTGGGAAATGCTGGTGGCCAGTTCTTCAAAATTTACCTTTGGAGCATCTTGCCATTAATGAAATGCAAAGAATGAGCTTGGAGTAAGTTGTAATGCAGCACCTCATGTACTGAAGCACTCTGTGTACATCAAGTAATGTCAGGAACTGACTCCCTTGTCTCACCCAGATTATGAGCGTGTGGCTGAGAAGGCCAGGAAGATGGAGGAGGAGGTGAAGCGGCTGCACCAGCTCATCATGGACACCAACAACCAGAAACTGAAGGCTCAGCAGGACAAAATTGATAAGATTGACAAGGAAATGGATGAATGTTCCTCAGCCATCACCAAGGCCCAGGTGGCAGCCAAGACTGCAGACAGGTACAGCACAGGGAGCTCGGCCTGGAGCTGCACTCACTCAGGCTCTGTGCTGCATGGGGCTCAGGGAGGGAAGGGCAAGTCAGATTCTGTAGTTTCTAATAGTTTAAAAGTCACATTGAATCAGCATTTCTCTAGTATTTGCCTGAATTATTTCTTTAATATTGCCTAAACTGCAATATTCAGGACAACATCCAAAATAGCACTCGATGGATGTGCTGGAGCAGTTCAAATCTGAAGGGGCTGATTTTATCAGGAGCTCTGTCAGGAAATAAAATGGGATTTGTTTTTTATGGGAGCTCCCTGCTCCATAGAGATTCCAAACCCTGCAAGAAGAAATGAAGTCATTTAGTGAGGTGTGGCTGCTGAGGAAGACAGCTCTGTTTTCCTTGGGTCCCTCTGGAGTGGGGGAGCTGCTGCCTACAGCAGCACGTGCTCCTTGTTGCCAGTGAGATTGTGCTCCTGGGTTGTTTTCTGTGAGGTGCACAAAGCTCCCTGTCCCTGGGCAGGAACCTGAAGAAATCCGAGGAGGCTCTGCAGCGCACGGAGAAGGAGATGGAAGAAAACGAGAAGGAAATGGAGAAATTGGCAGCAGAGATGACAACGCTGGAGGACAAAGCCACCGAGGTGATGAAGGAGTGCAAGCAGGCTGAGGTGAGTCCTGGAAGCACCCTGGGCTCCAGGGAATCAGGGATTTCCTCCTGTGTTAAATCCTCCCTGTGTCCCACTGCTGTCCCATTCTCTCTGCACAGCAGCCAGGCTGTGGCAATGCTGTATTTTCATTTTTTATACTCACCTGGAAATTTATCCTGAGACCCAGGTTAGGAAAAAACTTACACCAGGTCTCCCCAAACAAATTGCTGCGTTTAAAGGTTGCTTAAACATAAAACTTTTCCAGTTATGTGGAATTTTAATTTCCCATCTAGATTTCTGTGAGAGAGGGAAAACCAGGATGGCTGAAATGCTTTTAAATAAATCTAAGATTTGATGTCTTTCTCTAATTAGCTAAATTAGGACCTGTTTGATCCAGATCTGGAATGAAAATACAAACTGCAGCATTTTCTCAGTCATTCCACAATTCAAGGATCAGTTATAAATCTAAGAATATTTATTTGTTTCCATCCACAGCCATGAGTAAATTAAGTGAAAACAGACTTTTCACCCAAAAAAGGAGCAGCATTTTTGTAGGTGATTGTGATTAATGCCCTTTTTGGGGGTATTTGCCATTTTTCTATTCAGGAAGCTTTGCCAGCAGTGCAGGAGGAGCAGAAGAATTTACTCCAGGAGATGAAAATGATTCGGGATGCTGAACATGCCCTTCAAAGTGAAGCTCTGAGCATCAAGCTGAAGATTGAACAAATTGACAGCCACATTTCCACCCACCAGGGAAAGGTTAAATACTGGCAGAAAGAGGTAGGGAATGCTTTTGTTCCAAAAACTTCAATCAGGGAATTGTGGAACGGTTTGGGTTGGGAGGGACCTTAAAGCTCATCCAGATGCACCCTCAGGGACACCTTCCAGTATCCCAGGTTGCTCCAGGTGCTGTCCTGCCCTGGGCACTTCAGTGATCCAGGGGCAGCCACAGCTTCTCTGTGCATCTCAGAGCATGAACTCATTACTACCCCCATAGAAAACACAGGACTGGGAGAAAATTCCTCTTCAGATGCTTATTGCTGTGTAGGCAGGAGCAGGATAATAGCATAAAGGGAATTTATTCTCCTTTTCACTTCCTATTTTAAAGAGACTTGTGGGAAGAATGGTGGAGCTTTGGAGATTAGAAAGTGCCTTGTACTAACCCGAAGAAACCCCTGTCCGAAGCAGCTGCAGGTGTGTGTTAAACTCGGCCCCGCTGTGTTCGCAGATCTCCAAGCTGTCCCTGCACGCCATCGAGGGCGAGGCCCCCGAGCAGCTGCGGGCGCTGAGCGAGGAGGAGCTGGAGGCGCTGCAGGAGCCGGACGCGCTCAGCAAGAGAATCGCGCTGCTGGAGGCACAGCGCCACCAGCTCCGCCCCAACCTGGGCGCCATCGCCGAGTACCGCAGCAAGGTACGGCCCGGGCACGGCCCTGCTCCCGCCCTTCCTCCTGCGGGAAACCTGGAATGTGCTGCTCTGTTCTTAGCAGCTCGTCCTTAGCCAAGGGAAAGGTGTTTCCAGAGCTTCTTTTTGTTTCCCACACCACCAGTGTCGGGTGACAGCGACTTCCTGGGTGATCTTGAAGTCTTTTCCAACCTCAGTAATTCCATGATTCTCCTGGGAATGTTTATTTAACAGAGTCGAGTCTTCCCTGCCAAGACAGACACACAGTACCTGGATTTTTCCCTCCTCACATCAGTAATAGTGAACCATTCAATAGATGAAGTATTTTTTATTTTGACACGGGTTTGGTTTTTTGTTTTCCCTCAGCAGCAGAGATGGGAAAAGAGAGACAGTTTGGGGGCTTTGTTTCAGGGCTGTTAGCCAGGCTGGGGAGAAGGAGTGTTCAAATGGAAGGGAAAGTGTTCAGGTTTAAATTCAGCTGCTCTCAGTGCCCTTGGGTTTGGTTGTTCTCCCCTGCAGGAAGAGCTGTACCTGAAGCACGTGGAGGAACTGGACAACATCACCAGCGAGAGGGACAAATTCAGAGAGGCCTTTGAACAGCTCAGGAAACAGAGGCTGAATGAATTCATGGCAGGATTTAATGTCATCACCAACAAGCTGAAGGAGAACTACCAGATGCTCACACTGGGAGGGGACGCTGAGCTGGAGCTCGTGGACAGTCTGGATCCCTTCTCAGAGGGAATCATGTTCAGGTGTTCAAAATACTTTGTATGCCATTAGTTTTTAATCATCATAGTCCTTTTTTCAACCTGTTTTTAAAGTAAATGCTCACTGATCATCAGTGAAGCAAGAAGGGCTCGGTGTGGACAAATAATGACAGAAAGCACAAGTTTTTAGCTCTCAGATTCATTTCTTTCTCCTGGAGAAATCAGGAGCTAAAGCAGTTGGAAAGTTTTGAACTCATTTCCCAGCACTTAATAATTCCCAGGGCACTTCATTCTGCCTAGGGAATGATGCAGGAATGCTCCCAGGATCAGTCCATGAGCTGGGGCAGGAGCAGCATTCCTGACAGCCCCAATCTTGCTCTCTTGCAGTGTCCGGCCCCCCAAGAAAAGCTGGAAGAAAATCTTCAACCTGTCAGGAGGAGAGAAGACCCTGAGCTCGCTGGCCCTGGTGTTTGCCCTGCACCACTACAAACCCACCCCCCTCTACTTCATGGACGAGATCGACGCCGCCCTGGACTTCAAGAACGTCTCCATCGTGGCCTTTTACATCTACGTGAGTGCTCGTGGCCCAGCTCCCTGGCAGTGCCTCCTCCTCCAGAGGGACACAGTGGCCACACAGCCACAGGCAGTTAAAGCTCTGGGCTGCTGCACTTGTACTGCTCCCCCTGGAACACACAGACCTGCCCCAAACCATCAGCTGCTGGCAGAGTACACAACTGTAGCTGGTACTGATGTTTCCATGGATCCAAGGTCCCTTGGATTTACACTTCCATGTCATTCCCATCAGTGTCTTTGATCTATATCTTAATTAGTAGCAATTACTTTTTCCATGCCTTTCAAACTTCTGCAAACCCCTTACACAGCTCCAGTTCAGGTAATTAAACATTAAACATTATTATAAAGTGACAAAGATGAGGGGCAGCTACTTCACATTAGGGAAGCACTTGGGAGTTCCCTGCCTGCAGCTGCAGTTTTAAACGTGGCTTTGTGTGCCACAGAGGGGATTTTGGGAATGCTGGGCACTAACACCAATCCCTTCTGTTCCAGGAGCAAACCAAAAACGCCCAGTTCATCATCATCAGCCTGCGCAACAACATGTTTGAGATTGCAGACAGATTAATTGGGATCTATAAAACCCAGAACACCACCAAAAGCGTGGCCACCAACCCCAAAATCCTGGCTGTGAAAGGACTGGAGGAACTTGGTCTCCCTGCATGCAATGTAGCTGAGAGATAGGAAGGAAGCAACTTCCAGCCCCATGGCTGCTGTTTGTTTTTGTCTGATCTCATTTTGTATCATAGACTTGGTTTTATAAATTCTAAATAAATATTTTAAAATTTGATCTTGTTCATATAAACCCAGCATCGATAAATTGCAGTTTTTGAATGTCATGTAAAAATTGAGGAAAGGGAGATGTAAATGGATGAAAAGAGAGCATGCATCAGGTTGGGCAGGGGCAGCACCAAAGACACAGCAATTTAAGGAATCAGTGTAATTTACTCTAATGCAAAACTGCCAAGAGTTATGGGAGAAGCTCAGAAATGCACCTGAACTTGGGCAGAGAATTGCAGGAGGGGAAGCTCAGCAGTGTCCCTGATCTCTGGCAGGGAATTGCAGCAGGGAAGCTCAGCAGTGTCCCTGATCTCTGGCAGGGAATTGCAGGAGGATGTTAACTGTGAATTCCCCAGTGTGGATCAAGGCAAAGCTCACCTCTCCTCACCTGAAGTGGATCAGGACTTGAGTACAGAGGAAATCCATACAATACAGAAAAGGAAGGGAACAGAAACAGAACAAGTGCAGAGCTTGAACAATCTATCTTTTAAGTAAAAATTGAAAAGCATGCTGGATTGCTGTGTGAGGTTTTCAATCGAACTGAAGTGGTCAGGAAGGATTGTCCTGCACAGCTTTAGGGGTGGGCCAGAGGAGTGGCACAGCTCCTGCACTCTGGGCTGCAGGGGGATGCAGGAATCCTGACAAATGCACAGCAGGAATTGCAGGGATGTGCCCGAGCAGCTGGGATGGTGCCAGCTGAGAGCTGCTCGTGCCACAAGGACACAAATGAAATCAGGATCAGCAGAGGAGCCTGTGGCTCAGCAGCCCAGAGTGCAGATGCTGCTGTTTGAATTTGTGAGCCAGGTGCAGCCTTGGGCTGAGGCTCCCGTGCACCTGCCTGATCTCAGCTGCAGACCCCGTCTCCTGCAGCACCTTCTGCATCCCAGCATGGATCTGCACAGGTTCAGGTGCAGCCACAGCTGAGCTCCTTCATCTTCTCCAGGAAAAGCAGCAGGGACTCCTCCTCCTGAAAGCTGAGTGCAGCTCCTTGAGCTCTCGCTCTCTTCCAGCTTCAGTTTTTCCACCTCCTCCACGAGGGGATCGTATTTCTCTGAAATGCGGCTGTTGAGTTCTTTCTTGTGCTCCAGGGTACCACCAAGTTCCTTAAAATGCTGCAGCACAAGGTAAAAGGTGGAAAGTGGCAGCAGCACGGAGGAAATGTTCATTGACTGATCCATTTCCACCTGCAGGATTGAACAGACGGGAAACAGACTGGGAACACAACAGAAAGGACACAGAAGACACCGCAGAGTTCAGCAGAGAACAAACAAGTTTTCCAGGGAAAAAAAAAAAACCAGCAGGAAGCTGGGAAATGCTGGCTTTATCTGCCACAGCAGCCATCAGTGTGTAAGTGGATAAATAACTGCTGATAGCACAATCCCACCCCATTCTCCTGTGAGGAATTCAAGAGGTGAATGTGGCATTGGAAAGTGGCTGTGACAGCCCATTGCAAGGGCAAAGCCCCGTGCGAGTCACGGGGAAAGGGATCCAGACTCGAACCCTGCGAGTCACAGCGACAGCAAGGAGCTGAAATAGGAGAAAAGCGGCCCCGACCCCGCGGTGTCCCGGGAGGGCGGCGCTCACCGGGCCGGGACCCTCAGCACCCGCCTGGGCCCTCCCGGGAGCTCCGGCCGGCGATGGAGCCGCTCCGTGCCCCTCCTCTCCACGACAGAGCCACTCGGGGCTCCTCTGCTCGGCGATGGAGCCGCTCCGTGCCCCTCCTCTCCACGACAGAGCCACTCGGGGCTCCTCTGCTCGGCGATGGAGCCGCTCCCGGGGAGCTCCGCCAGGCGATTGAGCCGCTCCGGGCTCCTCTGCTGGGCGATGGAGCCGCTCCGTGCCCCTCCTCTCCACGATAGAGCGACTCCGGGCTCCTCTGCTCGGCGACGGAGCCGCTCCGTGCCCCTCCTCTCCACGACAGAGCGACTCCGGGCTCCTCTGCTCGGCGATGGAGCCGCTCTCGCTGCCCCGCTCGGTAACGGCCGCGGCCCTCAAAAGGCAATGGCGGGAGCGGGGGCGGGAACGGGCGGAGCTGAGGCAGGGGAGGGAGGGAGAGCAGCGACGGAGCTGAGGGAAGGGACGGAGGGAGGGCAGGGCCTGACCCGCAGGGTCCCTCCCTCGGCCCGCAGGAGCGCGGCTTGTGGCGCTGCCATGGCGGAGCTCAGCGGGGAGGGTCCCGCGGGCCAGCGGCCGGAATCGCTGCGGGGCTGAGGGGATGGAAGAGCGGAGCTGACCCCGCTCCGGGGCAGGAGGGGATGGAAGAGCGGAGCCGACCCCGCTCCGGGGCAGGAGGGACACGGAGGGGATGGAGCAGCGGAGCTGACCCCGCTCCGGGGCAGGAGGGACGCGGAGCCGGAGCCGCGCGTTCATCCCCGCTCCGTGTCCGGCACCTCAACCTCTTCCCTCTCCACAACCCGCGGAGAAATTCACCCTGAAGGTGGAAAACGGAACCGCGACTTGAGCCAGCTGCTGAGCACGGAAATGGAAATTGTTTGGTCTTTCCTTTGAAGCTCATTCATCTGCCGTGGCTGCCGAAGACACCTGAGAGGGTTTTAGGACACAGGGCAGGGCTGGGTGGGATTTTGGGAAGGAATTCTGCCCTGGGAGGGTGGGCAGGCCCAGAGAAGCACCCAGTGAAGGCTTTTCTCATATTCCACATTATTCTCTATTCATTTACAGTTCACCGAAGTTACTCTCAGCTGTTACAAAGTACATTTGAAAGAGAAATAAAACTCACTTAATGTTGTGATGTAAATAATAATGCACCATCATTCCAAACTTACTTAATCACGTCTTAAAACTACTGTGTAGAGAATATTGTACAAATATCTGGGAAACAGCAAGATTTATGTTTCAAATAATAAAAACCCTCAAGCTCTAATCACAAATTACCCAACACATCAGGAAAACCTTAAGGGGAAAACTACAGGAGCAGAAAATAAGGGAGCTTTTGACAATAATTCACAATAGTAAGGGTTAGAGCATCTGTTGGTTTTCATCTCTTGGATGTACTTAAATTCAGGATTCAAGAAGCAGCAGCATTTCAAGTGCAAACTGCCCCTCCAGGAATTCAATCAGAGCTCAAACCCATGGTCTGTACTGCTGAGAGGAGCTCTGACCCTCACCCACCTTTCCAGCAAATTACAAAACTCCTGCAACACATTTACCAATAATTGGCATGTAAAGTTTCCCAAAATTGGGCCTTTTCTAGTAAGAGCAGCTTTTAGTGCTTTATAGAAATTTAAAATTGAAAGTATTGACATTTTAATGACAACTTAAGGAAAAGTCTCCCTCAGCTCTGAGGCACACTAAAGCAGCAGGGTAAATAGAGGATTTACAATGGATTCACTGGCAAAAATGGGAATTATTGGATGGAAATGAAGGTTCCAGCCACTTTCCGTGGATAATGCAGCACCATGGATTTCCCAGGGCTTTCTGTGCCCCCCGTTTCACTGGAGCAGTAGCTACAATTCCCCCCGAGGAGTTTGTAAACTTGACACGTTTGCAGCTACTAAGTTTCCTCTGCCAATATTTGATCCAGATGCAGAATTCCTCTAATTGCTTCCAGCCCCAGGAGCAGCTCCCCTGCCAGAGCTTGGTGACACGCAGAGCTGAGGAAACATTTATGGCTAAAAGTGGCAAAAAGTCTGACTTTTAATCTGCAGCCATCCTCAAGTTGTGGAGTGACTCTGCCAGGGTTTCACTCGCCTTGAAATCCTTTTAATTTGTTATTATCTGATTGTTCTGGGCAGAAATGAGGATTTTGACCAGCCTGTCCCACTCCCAAAGCAGAAAATTCCCAACTTACTGGAAGGAAAATGGGATGAGCTCTGTCCAGGGAATGCTGAAAAGAACCAGGGATAATTCCACTTCCAGCAGAGGAAGGAGCAGCTTCTCTCAGGAAACCCCTTTCCTCCTCTCTTATTCTTCTTATAAGCTTATTCTTCTTCTCAAATCCTAAAATTCCAGGGTAGCCAGTCGATTTTTGTTTCCTTAAAATAAAAATTCCTTATTTTCCTTTATTCATATTTCCTATTTTCCTATTATTCCTTTATTTCCTTAGAATAAAAATTCCTACCTGGCACAGCTGATTTGTGGATTCATTTTTGTCCTTTTAATATTGTAAATCTTTTTCTATTTGCTATCCTAAACTCGGATGAAAAGATGATTTTCTATTCCAAAATTCAGGATATTTCTAATATACAGAACATATAAATGTGGATACAACACCCAAACTCAGTGATCAGAGGCAATTCCCGAATTAGTTCTTGTTTGTGTCCCGAGATTCCCCAACAAATCCCCCTTTCCCCCACAATGGAATCAGCGGCATCGCCTCAAAATGCAAATTTGGGGAAAAAGGCAGCGCCCAGAGCGGCTCCCGGAGCTCCGCTGGTGCCACCCTGTGGATATTCGGGAATATTTCACATTCCCCTATTGTGGGGCAATAACGGTGACAGGAGCTGCTGTGAAGCAGGGGAAGAGAATTTCCTTGTTAAAAACTCACCCAAAAGCCCCAAATCCACCAAAAAAGGGAAAAAGCTGGAGCAGCGCCAGCTCCAGGGAATTTTCTGGAGTTACTTTACACCCAGGAAGTGCCCAAAAGGAATTTTTTGGCATTGAATGCAGAGCTTTGGGGATATTTTAGAAAAACAGATCTGTTCTCTTCCTACCAACAAGAAAGGTTTGGAAAACAATTTTTTCCATTTTCTGTGGAACATCCCTCACGAAGGTGTCTGAGGGTGCAAATTATGATTTACTGGGTAGAATTTTCCTTGGAACATTGCAACTTCCATAAAAAGCATTTCATTTCCCTCCTCCATGCATTCCCTACGTTTTCCATGAAAACATTCCATGATTTACTCAGCGAATATACAGAGGTAACTAAAACTGAAATAAAACTGTTATTTTTTTAACATTTACAGCAAAATAACTCCATGCTTCCAACCTGCAACAGGCAAACATTTACCAGGTAAAAACCTCAACCCAGAGCCTTTAAAAGTCACTTTCTTCACAGAATCTCTGTGTTTCGTGCTGAAAAATGTGAATATTCTATAAAGGAAGAGGCAGAGCAGCAGGGTTGCAAGTTTTAATGTTTATTTCCCCAAGACAGCCTAGCCTGCACTCTACTTGGATAAATTCACAAGCTAGATTTCCGCTGCTTCTAGTTTTAAACTTTTAACCATGTTTCTGATGACAAGGAATGCTGCAAAAATACTCTAGTCCAACAAAGAGTTATGATCACAAAATAATCTTTATCCATTCTACAGTGTTTCAGAATTACCAGCTGATTTGAAAACACAAGGTAGATATAGATGCTAATGGTGGCTAACCTGGGATGTTTTATTATAGCAAACTGTTGTTCATGCAACACTTGTGCTCAAAGGGGAAGGCACAGCATTTCCTACAATGAGCCACCTTATCAAGAGTTCAGTTTGTACAAATTTGTAACATCACCTTGAATTTAGTGTGCACGACCTCAAAACTGAGGCATTCCTCCAATTATAAAAACACTTGCAGCCTTTTTGTGCAAGTTTTAAAAATACAAAGTTTTTTTGTTTTTTTTTTCTCTCTAAAGTGGCTCAAAATAGATTGTTCATGGCTGCCTACATCTAAGATAAAAAGAGTCTAAAACAATTGGATTAGGCATATTAAAGGTGTTCAAACCATGACTTGATTTGTACATCTATTCACACCTCTTTTTTTCGCTCTTTATTCAGCAGTACATATGCACCAAATTTCATTTTTAGACGTTTCCATATCATTTTCATAGAAAACAAAGTTTGAAAACAAGTAACATTGAAACACAGCACGGTATCCTACCACAACAGAAACATTTTGGTTACAGGACTCAACGAAATCTAAAAATGAACTATGCTGGAGATTACCACATGCAAAGGTCTTCGTGTTATCTTTGAAAATGAAAAGGATGAGCTTTTATTACCACATTTTTACTGCTTTCTACTATTATGGCAACTTGTGTACTGCAACACAGTCTAGTTTGAAGGGAAATGGATGATTTTCTTTTTTTTTTTTGTTTGGTTTTTTTTCCATGCAAAAATCTACAAATTAGTTTTGATGATATGGAAAAGCTTTTCATAACATCAAACATTCATCTGGTGCAAATGCACAGGGAAGCCTTCCTGAAATTCTGACTTTACAAACAACTAAGAAGCTGTAACAGGAAAAAAGAAATTAAAAAGAACTGAAAGAAAAAAAAAAAAAAAGAAGAGGGGAAAAAAATTAAAATAAAACAAAACAAAACAAAAAAAAATATAGAGGAAAACACAGGCTGCAGGAGTAAACCAGAGTCTGCTGCTAAACCGGTCTCGGTGTGTCCAGTGTAAGTCGACACTTGTGAACTCATTGGATGATCTCAGGTTTCTCAGCCCCTGGAGGCGACTCAAGCTCGCACGCTCACAGACACATCACAGGCACGCCTCTGCCGCCGGGCCAGGGCTGCAGACACTCACCCACGCTGCCATTCCATCCACACGGGGCTGCAGAGCAAGGCCTGCGCTGCTCTCCCTGCGCTCTGCGCACCCCGGCTCCGATGCTGACGAGGCTGATGATGAGAGAACGCGGCCCCGCTGCTCGGGAGGCCGCTGTTCCTTCTCAGGCACTGGAGATCTGTGACCTGGAGCCCTTTTGCTTTGAACAATCTAAAGAAGCATTCAGTGTGAAGTTTGTCATTACATTTTGCCACTCATTCTCACTCGCACCCACTCGCCATCTTGACTTCATTTGGGCTTTTCTGTGATTCCAAATGAAATCTTCACATTTACTTTCCCGATTTAATGCAGCAGCGGATCCCATGAGCCAAGATTGATGGATCAAACCTTTTTTTTTTTTTTATTCAGTGCTGCATTGTACCTAAACTTCCAAAATACCACTCTAAAACTGGAACCCTTCTGCTGGTACATTGGCAGATGAATTGAAACCAAATGTTCCGCCTTGGATCGCTTCTGGAACAAGGCTTGGATCTTCATCAATCTGGAATGCAACGGGGACATTGTGAGCAGGGACACAACAGAACCTCCCCACACAGGAGCTGGACAATCCCAAAGCAGCTCCCTCCTCAGCTCCCTGCATCCAGCCCTGCCATCCCTCCCCTCACTGAGTGAGAGCACTAAAATGAAGTGATTTAAACCCAAAGGTTTTAGCTTGTATTGGTCAGGGAGTGCCACATGGCACCCCAAAGCCTCTTGTTGATACCATTTTCTCTCCTGGAAAACCTGGCAGTATCAGAAACTGTCTCAAGTTCTTAGGAGAAGAGCAGCACCACTAAGCCAAGGAAGGACTAAGCCCAAACTGACGTTGGATTAAATTCCAAGTCCAGCTGTAAATGCCAAAGTTGAGTTGCTAAACAAGATTTGGCTCCTACAGCTCACATCAAAGTGAAATGCAGCACAAAAATCCCTTCCAAGTGCAAAGGGGCCATGAATGCAGCTGAGCCCATTTCTGGCCATTCCTGCAGGGCTGGAGGCAGCAGAAAACCCTCCCTGCATGGCACAGACTGCCAGGGCTGCCCTTGCCCTCTGCCTTGAACCTCCTGACTGGGAATGCACACAAATCAACCCTGCCTTGGATTTATGGTCCATTCTGAAACGGGAACAAGGCTCCTGATCAGCACATTCCACCCCTGGCATTACTCAAATATTCCAGCTCTGGCTCTTAGGCAGCAGCCTCAGCCCTGGAGGCAGCAGGGAGCTGCATCAACTGGGAAGTGTCAAGCTGAGAGCTCAGGAACTATTCACAGCCTGGGATTTTAATCCCTAGAGATGAGCCTTAAATTAGGCATCAGATCTCCTTTAGATGCCTCCTCAGCAGCAATGGCAGGAGGTGCAGGAGGTTCACACCAGGGCTCCAGGTCCCCTGAGCCCAGCCCTGGGGCTGCTGCCTCTGCCTGCAGCAGATGTGGAAAGGAAAAGCACGAGCACCCTGCAGGAGCTGCACACTCACATCATCTGAGGAGAAGAACTGGTCAATGATCTCATAAGCCAGTTTGTAGATGTCTTCATTTTCATGGTTTTGTAGCTGTTCAATTTTCTCCAGGCCTGCAACCAACACACAAGAGACCTCAGAACAGCAAATTCAGGCCAAACAACTTCCAACAAAGAAATTAAAAAGTACATTGGGAATAGTTATGAATGATCTGGTTATGAATAAAATGCTGTTACACCCACCTGGCATATTTAGATATATTTTATACATATAAACACTGAAGTTCAGTACATAGATTTGGTATTTTAAGGATTATTCTACTCCATGTTAACAAATCCCACAGTTTTCCACCTGTGTCCAAGTTTAATATCACTGTTCTTGTATCCCTGAAAAGTTTCAGTCAACTTAAACCACACAGAATATGGAGAAAGTCTCAAAACCATGAGGAAATTGAAGTTATTACATTTTCACAACCACTGTATGTAGAATTATTTATTCCAAGTTCACCTGGACATGACTTGTGCATGATTAAGTTAAGCACCTCACCCCCACATTGACTAATTTAGTTCCTGTTAATTAGACTAATTTGTCTAATATGCAGACTGTTACAAAATCAGCACCTCATGAACTTTACTGCCATTATCCTGCTCCTCCACATTTCATTTGATCATGAATTTAGGAAAAGCTGTGGATATTCACCTGATAGGCATGAAAAAGGTGCTTTAAACCAGGTTTGCTTAAAATATCTGTGCCAGCAATAAACCCAATAGCAGCAGGAATCCAAAGCAGCAACCCCTGGAGAAGTCATGAACCCCTTGCTCCTCCTACCTCCACACTCTTCTATAAGGTTGGCTATGGTTTCTGCTTCCTCTTCAGCCATTTTTAATATATTACTTAGTCCATCCAGAACCACCTGCACAACTTGTGCATCTTTTACTGTCAGCAAGTTGCAGAAGGGAGGAATTACATTTTGTTGAATTAAGTAAGCCACCTGAGGGGGGAAAGCCAAGAGTTACAGCAGGAACGTGGCAGCAGCACAGGCAAACCCAAGGAGTCAGAGCCACCCAGCCCAGAGCACCTGCAGGGCCACCCCAGGAACCCCTCCTGGGAAACATTTGGGGGCTAAACTGCAAATAATTGGAGATTTGCAACACCCCAGAGCAAATACTGTGAATGTGTCTGTGTCAGGTAAGGAGTTTGAGCCTCACCTCTGACGAGTGACAGCACCACCCCAACCCTGCCACAAATCTCCTACTCTGGGCCTACAAGGGACTGGAGCATCCCCTACTCATGGGTTACTGTCCTTACAATGGTCACATCCTTGTGGTGGTGGGCAAAAGGTACAAAGAAATGTGGAATGCTCGAGAATCCCATCAGAGCCCGACTGAAATCATCAGGGATGCTCTGACCCCAGGCCACCCCAACACAAGGGGAGGTCACTCTTAAATCCCATGAGAAGGGAAAGCCCTGAACAGAGAAGGGACAGAGACATCCACAACCACATCCACAGGAAATGAAGTCTCCCAAAGCTGCACTCACCTGGTCTTTTCTCCCACTGATTGTTAAGTTGCTTATTGCCCAAGCAGCTTCTTTCTGAGTCCCAAAATCCCCCTGGAAGCACAAGCAGAGACACAACAGCCATTGTAGGGTTTGTGTCAGGCAGGATTCCCACAAATCTGCGTTTGTTACAGTCCCTCTGCAAGGAGTCACTGTAGCAGCTCCGTGAGAGGTAACAAATAAATCCTGTCCTGAGTATCTGTGTGTCCATCCCTCCTACAGCCAGGGGAAAGGGAAGGGGAAAAGGGAAGGGGAAAAGGGAAGGGGAAAAGGGAAGGGGAAAAGGGAAGGGGAAAAGGGAAGGGGAAAAGGGAAGGGGAAAAGGGAAGGGGAAAAGGGAAGGGGAAAAGGGAAGGGGAAAAGGGAAGGGGAAAAGGGAAGGGGAAAAGGGAAGGGGAAAAGGGAAGGGGAAAAGGGAAGGGGAAAAGGGAAGGGGAAAAGGGAAGGGGAAAAGGGAAGGGGAAAAGGGAAGGGGAAAAGGGAAGGGGAAAAGGGAAGGGGAAAAGGGAAGGGGAAAAGGGAAGGGGAAAAGGGAAGGGGAAAAGGGAAGGGGAAAAGGGAAGGGGAAAAGGGAAGGGGAAAGGGAAGGGGAAAAGGGAAGGGAAAAAGGGAGGGAAGGTTGTTTACAGCAAGGCAAAGAGGAGCTGCAGCCCTGCACTCTGCAGCCCTTATCAGCAGCTGGCACATCTGCAGCTGAGCCCATGGCAGCTCTGATAAGGCCCTGCACACTGCAGCACCTCAGGGCTGGGGTTACATGGAAAGTCCTCAATCTTTTCTCCCAGATCAATAAATTGGCATTTACAGAGCTATCTGTGAGCAGCTCTGGGTTATTTGCCATTTCCCTTAAGGAATTCCCAGATGCTTTTGCTGTTCCTTCCTTCTGCCACAGCAGATCCTTGGCAGCACAGAGTGGTTTGGGAAATCACTTTTTAAAAGACACCAGGAGCTGGAAAGCAAAGCAGGATTTGAAGCACCAATGCTTGGGATCTGACCTTATCTAGAAGATGGATTATCATTGGAACAAGGTTTGCATCTATTACTGCCTGAACTTGCTGCTGGTTTCCTGCAGTGATGTTAGATAGGAACCACACTGCTTCCTGCAAAATAAAACACCAGGAATTAACCCACAGAAGGATTCTCCATCCTTTATGTCCACTGCAACTGGCCAACCTTGAACACAACCAAGCACTGATCAGCTTGACTGGGCAGAGCTGAATTCTTGCTGAGACAAACCAAAGGGACAATCTCACCTCAGGAGGCTCCACAAGACTCCTCAGGCTGTTACCAGCTTCAACCAAATACTTCAAATTAAAAGGAGAAATTATTTGGAGACAGGAAATGCCAAATGAGCCCTTCTGATTGCTCCCAGCACTGCCAATGAGCAGCTCTCAGTGACAGAATCCTCACTCCACACATGACAGTTCTTGACCTCCTTCCCACTGACCCTCCTGAGCTTCAGGAGAACGCAGCGCTATGAATTCAACTCTTGATTTTTAACAATGCTCTGAAGTTTGTGACCCTTTATGCTCATTCTGTCCACAAGGACTCTCCTGCCAGGCAAAGCAAGAACAGATCCCTTCCCCAGCAGCCCCTCCTGAGTTAAACTCCCAGCCCTCACCCCCCTTTTACAGTGGGAATCTCAACTTTAATCAACAAGTAACAGCTTTAAATACAATTTTAAGTATATTCAGAGTAGCAACCTTTTAAAATCCCACAGCTGATAGATTTCTCCCTTCCTAGAAATCCTCCACCATTCAATTCCCTTCTCAGCCTCCTTGAATAAGAACTTTTGAGCTGAGAGTTTCCAAAGAAGCTTCAGCAGTGCTCAGCCCTGGCTCTCTGAGATCAGAGCACAGGATCACTGGTGACCCTGGAGACATTTGGGCTGCCTGGGGCTCTCCTGGTGGGCTTTCCTGGGCCTTTAATCACAGGCAGTGTTGCAGAGGGGCCCGCGGTGCCCAACACGCCTCAGATGCACTCCTGGCTCAGCACTGCCATCAGTGCCCCCACGAGAGCCCCCACACAGCACACACAGCCCCCAGCCCCTCCCACACACACCCATCACCCACACACACCCAACTGTCTCTGTGTCATCACCTCTGAGAGAGCCAGGGCAAGCCTTAAGGGGACACTCCAGGTACTGAGAGCTCCTACACAAGTCAACAGCCAGACTGACAAGAGAAAGCTTTGATTTCCTACAAACACTGACATTCCTGTCCTTCCCTATGGACATTCATTCAATTCCTTCCCTACGGATATTCATTTCCAGAAACAAAAAAATCAGTATTTGCTGACATTTGCCACAAACTGGTGGAAGGAGTCCATTACTCACATCTTTATGGCACCACGCAATGTGGAAGCCCAGCTCAGCCAAATGTAGAATTTCTCCATCAGGTACAAATCTCTGGTGTTGCTCACCTTATTAATTTTTTCTTTGGGATGTGTCAGAAGTGCTGGGAAATGTGAGAGAGCCTCACAGTTGAGAACCACCTGTGTCTGCTCATCGGTGCCGGTGACGATGTTCCCCACAGCCCTCAGCGCAGCCGTCTGGAAACAAAACCAAAACCAAAACATTTCCTCTCTAAACACCCTCTGCAGCAGATAGAAAGGGTTTATATGCAAATGCTGCAGCACACAGGGAAAAATATTTATTACATTCAATGTGAGTTCTAGAAAGGAAGGGTTCTCTGACATTTTGGGGTCACCTGCTCTGCGCGAGCCAAACTCACCTGGACTTTGACTTCCTGGTGGCTGAGGAGAGGAACCAGGTGAGGGACAATGCCAGAGTCTATCACCATCTGGATCTGCTCGTTGCCAGCGTCCGTCAGATAGGACAGTGCCCAGACTGTGTCCACCAGGATCTGCCAGGACACAACAGCAGCTCTGGCAGCAGCACACACACCGAGCCAAACCAGGCACGGTTGGGTGCACTGACAATAATCTGAGTTAATATCTGGGAGCATTCACATGCAGCAAAGCCAGTCTCAGCAGCAGGAAATGTCAATGTTTCAAATGACAGCTGGCAAAAATATTGAGTGAGTGCTGCTCCAGCTGACAGTTCTTGAGTGGCTCACCAATACAGGAATTTCTAAAATTCTAATAAATTTAATTTCCCCTCCTTAGAGACAAGAAATTAAATCACACAATTACTACAGGAATTGTAAAGTTAATACAGACATATTTTTTGCAGAGCACTGATGCCATTAACTCAGCTACAACTTCTTTATGAAGCAAAGAGTTAATCTTAAATTCTGATTTATGTTCAGACAAAAAGCTGACTCATTCCATAATTTCAATGAAGTTTTGCTCATTTACTTCACTTTTAAATGACAATTTCATATTTAATGAAATTGTCATATTTAATGAAATTTAACCTCAGAAGTTACAGCTAACCCTGACATTTGACATGTGCAGCAGACACTGGTTTTTCTTACATTCACGCTGATTTTCATTACAAATTAAAGTTCTAGGCAAAAAAAATTTCTGTATTTCTCTGTGAATGAATGCTCACAGAAATAAAAATAGAAAGCAGTTTCAGTCATAAGTGCAGGGAAAGTACATGCAAATAAACACTTGCAAAGACAGGAATACTAGGGGAAAAATCACTATTTAAAAATAACATCAGTATTTCAAAAGAAGCAGTTAACAGATATCCACAGCAGCTTGTCCCAATCAAAGGGAACACCCCAGATTTCCCCTTGATTTTACATTTCAGCTGCAAACCCAGAGCAGAAGCTGCACGTGGCTCTGGGAGGGGTCACTCACATTTACATCGGTGTGGTGAATCAGAACACAGAGCGCTGGCAGGATCTGAGGGGGAAACAAACAGCCAGGGTTAGCCTGGAGGCAGAGCAAGGCCAGGCCAGCCCCTGCAGAGCCCTCCCGCCCTGCAGCACCTCCTGGATGGTCTCCATGGGCGGAGGGGGGTCCTTGTGGCGGCACAGGTTCACCATCACCCAGGTGACGTTCCTGAGGAAGGTGATGGGGATGGAGGGGCTGATGAAGGACAGCAGCGGCTTCACTACTCCAAGGCTAATGACGTAATCTCTACACTGGGGTCCGTCACCTGTGGGGCACAAGCAGGGCTTGGAACACAAACCATCCCAGCAGATGCAGAGTTTAACAGCAAACATCCATCCCATTGCTTACGATTTTAACAGCAAATATCTATCTTGTTTACAGATTTGTACTCTGTTAAAATTTGGAGATTTTACCAGAAAACGTCCCTGCATTTACAGATTTTATCAGAAAATATCCCAGCATTTACAGATTTCTATTCTGTTAAAATTCAGAGATTTTACCAGAAAACATCCCAGCATTTACAGATTTTACCAGAAAACATCCCAGCATTTACAGATTTTACCAGAAAATATCCCAGCATTTACAGATTTTATCAGCAAACATCTATCTTCTTTACAGATTTGTACTCTGTTAAAATTTAGAGATTTTACTAGAAACCATCCCAGCAGTTACAGATTTTAACAGAAAATATCCCATTGCTTTCAGATTTTAACAGCAAACATCTATCCCATCATTTACAGATTTCTATTCTGTTAAAATGTAGAGATTTTACCAGAAACCATCCCAGCATTTACAGATTTTATCAGAAAATATCCCAGCATTTATAGATTTCTATTCTGTTAAAATTTAAGAGATTTTACCATCAGCCCAGCATTTTCAGATTTTACCAGCAAACATCCATCCCTTCATTTAGAGATTTCACCATCATTTACAGATTTACAGTGCTGGGTAAGGGAAAGGGGTGGCAGACAAACACCAGACCACCAAGAACTGTGAGAACCCAAAATATTCCTGAAAATTCCTTGACAAAATTTCCAAACAATAATAAAACATCCCCAGAGGGTGGTGGTGGTGGCAAAGAGTAACAATAATAAAAATAAAACATGCCCAGAGGGTGGTAGTGGTGGCAGGGAGTAACGATAATAAAACATGCCCAGAAGTTGATGGTGGTAGGAGTTACAATAATAAAATAATAAAATAATAATAATTAAATAATAAAATAATAATATAATAATAAAATAATAAAATAATATAATAATAAAATAAAAATAAAGATATTAATAAAAATAAAAGTAATAAATAATAATAATAATAATAATAATAATAATAATAATAATAATAATAATAATAATAATAATAATAATAATAATAATAATAATAATAATAATAATAATAAACAACCCTCCCAGGGGGTGGTGCTGGCAGGAGGAAAACCCACCTATGATATTTCCTAAAGCCCACACTGCTTGCTCACAGACATTTTGATGAGGTGAATGCAGCAGTCTCAGGAAAAGCGGCACAGCATCTGAAAGGTACAAAAATAACCCAGGGAAATGGTTAAAAATGCATCCCCAAAGAGCACAAACTCTCACATGAGACTTGATTTTCCTGTTAAGAGCTGGTCAGAGCTTCACTAATTTCCCAGGTGATACTGAAATAAAACACTGCAATGATTCCTCCTTTGCTGCACATCCTTACAGAGCCTGCACTTGAGAATATTAAACCCCTGACATTTAATTTGTTTGCAAGCCTCAAGTTTACTGAAGCTTGTCAGGGTCCAAATTTAGCTCCATTTATTGAATTCAGAAATTCTCTGCTAAGTTATGCAGCAGCCCCAAGTGCAAAGGAACAACAGAGACCAAACTCCAAGGAAGCAACTGGAGAATAAGCAGGAATGGAGTGGGAATTAAGGAGAGGGAATGTGGGAAGAGGGCAGGAAAGAAATCCACATTTACATAATTAATTCTGTTTTATTCTCCCCCAGCACTGAGGTGCTTGCTTACATAACAGCCCAGTCTGTAAGGAACCCATTTATTTCATAAATTTCAAGAGAAATTTGAAATTTTTAGTTAGATTTTTTCCTAATGTAAATCATGTGTTTACCAGAGAAACAACTGATCAGCAGGATTCTTATTCCCTGCTAAATGAAGGTATTTACAGTTTTTAAGGAGAAAAAACATCTCCAGCAAGCAGATTAATAAATTCTTACGGAAAAATTACAAAAAATCATTTTAAATTGAAATAAATAATAACTAAATATATCACAGCTATTAAATTGACTAACAGAGTGCAATAGAGACCTACAGAAATCACTGAAAAAGTGATCAAATAATTCATAAATTAGATTTAAAGTATTCTACATCAGGGGTGGGATAGATTATCTATTAATTAATAGATTTCCCAAAGAAAACTAAGGTTGCAACTGGGGAAGGAAGAGGATGGAGAAAAAGATAAAAGTATTACCAAAGGTACATCCTGTAAGAGTGAAAATCAAATTATATCAAAGTTCACAGGCTCTCAACACCAAGTTTGCAAAAACAGAAGCAACTGATCTTGCAGCCAACATAATGTTGGTGCATTTTTCTTCCTTAAATGTTAGGAAAAACTCATTTCACTGCATCTCTGATTCTTCAAGAAGCTCTGGTTCTCCACTCAATTAAAGCCCTGCCCACTTGGTTCTGATTTAGCAACAGAAGCTCTGCTCCAGGACATGCCTGGAGTCCAGAGCAAAGTTTGCTTTGCCTGGTAGCTCAGATTCCAGCCACAATTCCTTCCCACGTTTCACATGCCCCAGCAGAGGAAGGACAGGAATTGTAATTCAACTTCATTTTGGAAGAGTTCAGTGTCAGGCACCCTCTGGTCTGTGAATATTCTCCTCTCTTCACAACAGGGAGCTTTTCAGAGGGCTTGTTTGGTTTGATTCCAAGTTTTTTGCAGTTTTTTTTTCCCAAGTTTGAAAGCTGGAAGCCAGCAGGTATCAACTCTGCTAAGATATTTTGAGTTTCCAGCTGCTGCTCACCATTAGGAACCCCAAGTGGGTGTAAACCCTGAGGAAACGAAGGCAAAGCCAGGAGTGTGAGGTGAACACCTGGCACAGCTCCTTGGGGGCCCTGACTGCCAAGCTGACCCCACCCAGAGCCCAGGGGTGGTGGCAGCAGATCCCCCCTGCAGGACTCACTGGATTGAACTACAGCCTGGGTTTGCTCCGAGGTTCCAGAGGCGATGTTCGTCAGGGCCCACGCAGCTTCAAACTGCAAGGAAGGACTGCAGACAAGGAAAAAGCACCGGTGTTAGCACCCACATCTGGGGCACACAGCTGAACTGCAGGGACTGGGGCAGCAGCTGGAGTTTTGGCAGTACTCACTTGTCATCTCTTTCAAGACAGTGCACTAGGATGGGTAATATTCCTGATTTGATTAGGTCGTCGATGGGTGGGTTGCGGTCACTGGACAGCAGCTTCCTGCAGGAAAATGGACAAAAAACCAAATTACTGACAAATCCTGCCTGGAAAGGAGCAGGGAATTGTGCAATCCAAGCTTCCCCTCAAAAAGGGATCAGTGCTGTCACTGGAGCTGGGCAGGCAAGGCTCCCTGTGGTTGAGTTTGGGATCTCCAATGGAGTCCCAATGACCAAACTGCTCCTGCTGGGCTGGGAATTCCTTCCCAAGGGTTTCCCCCCTCCTCCCACAGGATTTCTTTCCTCCTCTTTAATTGAAAATAACCCCCCAAAGTGAAATTATTGAGCCACTGCTAAAGCAAAGCCATTCTATCCATTTCATTCCATGCTTTCTCCCCTCTGGAAGTTTATCACCAGCCAGGAAGATAAAAGATGAGAGTTGTTCAGCTCCAACTCCTACAAAAGGAGACACTCAGATCTTTCTGCACTCAAAGCCAAAGCTTTTACAGTCCTTTAAAGTGTGCATTTTGCTCTGTGAGAAGCATCACCAAAAGCAATGCAGGTATTTACATGTAAAGGAAATCCACACTACTTAAAAGGTCTGTGTATTCTGGTTTCTTCAAAGTTCTATTTTCCTTTTAAAAATCACTTCATTAATACAATTTCAGTTAAGCTGGAACACATTTTCTGACATGAAGAGCATGATGAAATAAAAATAAAAATAAAATCAGGATATTTGAGGAAAGTGTGTTCTTACCTTGCTGCCTGCACAGCACTTAACTGAATACCCTGGTTGTCACTTGAAGCATTCTAAAAGAAGAGAAAATACATTTCTCACACATCTGCCATCCTGCCATGAAGAATATTCTAACAATGTAACAGTTTTTACCTGTACTATTGCCTCCAAAGAAGTGTTTTGCTGGAAAACAGAGACAAGAAGCAGTCAGAAATTCCAAATGTCTTTTAAGGATGCAAAAAGAAGAAATTATTGCAAGTTAACTCTTACCACTCTGAAGTCCCCATCAATATCAGAATCCTCACAGATATCTTCATGGGGAACATTCCTTCTCTTTAGGAGATGCTCATCTCTTTTGTTCTTCAAGAGAAAAATGGTGGAATTCCTTTAAAACTTGGATTTAGGGGGAGTGGGGGGTTCTGTCTCAAACAATCATAACCACACCACCACTGACACTGAAATGTTCCAAAACCAGCTGAAAAGCACTGCCCAGAGAAGCACAATTTGGGAATTCTTCCTAAAAAATCCTGCATCCAACTGGTGCTGGACATTTCACGTGCACACCAACATTCCAGTTTATTTCTCATCATTTCTAACAGGACACAGCAATTCCCACAGGTTTTCTGTTCAGCTCAGATGAAAAATAATTCCAGTTGTGATTCCTTTTTTCCAACAATTTCAGTTTTACCTTCACACTCTTCCACACTTAATTGTAAGGAAATATTTTTCTGCCTGCAGATGAGCAGGAACAGCTGATTTATAAAGGAAAAACCAAATCTTTAAAAGCCTCTAGAAGTGCAAGGAGTCATCCCTAAATTAGGTTAAAAATAAACTCCTGGTTTTCAGCACAAAAGGTGTGGAACTCCCATAACTTCAGAACTTTTGAGTCTTTACTGAAAACTCTTACATTTTATGAGAGTAACAACAAAGTAAAATCCCATGTGGTGAGAATAATTGTATAAAATAAAAGAATAATCTGGGTCGCCTCACCTTTCTCAACTCCACGACCACTTCATTTCTTTGTCTTCTCATAGTCTGAAAAACATAAAGATAAAAATCATCTGTATTTAGATAAATTTAAAAAGTTCTTGTTTGTATTTATTTCTAAATCTATTTCAGTTTGTGTACTTTAAACAAAACTTTTACACACAGGGTTTAATTTTCATTATAAAAGTAGATATCCTACAGGAAATGGAAATAACTGCAATATTTCTGTTATTTCACACTAAAACATTCTCCTAAGTCTTCAAGTTGAGGAAAAAAGGAATTAGGAATGAAAGCACATTTTTCAAAGGGCAAGATGGAGAGGAGTTGTACACAAAACAGCACCAAAAGCACTAAAAGGACCATGGCAATCCAACAGGAAAATAACTTTATAAAGAAGCTCATATTAAGAGACCTGCAAGCAAAGCTGAGTTCCAGAACTGTTATTTATAAATTAGAACCTTTGACATTCCAAGAGCAGAATTTTTTGTCATTTTCTCTACAGCTGCCATTGACAGTGCTCAGGGTAAAACAACAATTGTAAATATACATAAATTGGTTTATTGCTGCTTGTGTTACTGCAGTGAAAACAGAAATAAATCAGGCTGGAGTGATTTTATTTGAACACTTTGAACTCTGCAGTGAATGAGAACAGCAAAATTCCAAACAATTCCATTCTTATTGTGACAAGCCCAGGGAAAGCTGGAAGTCCCTGGGAAAAGGAACCTCCTGAAAGCAAGGAGATCTGAAGATAAGCATGAAAAGCTCACTTTTAAAGCATTTTTCTTCCTTGTTCTTATCAAAAAGAAGGTGCAGTTGATCAAATCCAATTTCAGCTGAGCACAACACTGCAGCTCCCCAGAGAAAAAGGGTAAGGAGAGGAAAAAGTGGCAAAGCAGGGCTGGTTCCACGCTCCCCCAGGGAGAGCTGCCTGCTCTGCCAAGGGCAAAGTGCCAGGGGCAGCTGCAGCAGCCTGGGGCAGCCAGAGAGGGGAGCTGAGGCCTCTTTCTTGTTGGGATATTTGTTGTGGTCCCACTCAGTTGTGTCTGTGTCAGCAGCAGCTTTGCTGGGAGCAGCAGTGTGGGCTCTGGGAAGAGCCACCCCTCTCCCAAAATCAGCATTCCAAGCCTAAGGGTGATTCTGGGGGGGCAGTGCTGATTTTCTGCTCTGAGCTTTGGGAAGGTGGTAAAGGGAGTGGTGATGTCCCACAGCTGGGATCCCCCAGGGCAATGGAGGCAGCTCTGGAGAGCAGAGGGAAGGCAGGAATCACCCCAGGGATGCTCCTCTGAGCTCCAGGAGAGGCTGAGCCACTGCTGGATCCCACCCAGCACTGCCAGGCTTTGCAAAGGTGCTGCAGCTTCCACCTGCCTTAGGTACTCCAGGCTCTCAGGGGAGTTTCTCCAAACTCCACTGATCTGGCACATCCAAGATAATAGTAATATAAATAATAATAATAATAATAAATAATGTGAGGAAAGCCTCTGATGATCAGATTGCAGAACTGCACCACGCCCCTGATGATCTCACAGGGCTGTAACACCTTCCCAAAGCACAGGCCAGCAAAATCAGCATTGCCACCCAAAATCTGCCTGGGAGAGGGGTGACTCTTCCAGACCCCAGGGGTGACACTGCTGCTCACAGCAAAGCTGCTGCTGACACAGACACAACTGAGTGGGACCAGAACAAATGTTACAATAAAAAAAAAAGCCTCAGATGTATCATTTAGAAAAGTCTGTATCATTTAGAAAATTCTTTCCTTAAAAATTCCTGCCTGCAGGTGATGGGACTGTAAAGGATCCTCTGGTGGGACAGGGAGGATGCTCTCCCTCCTGCCAGGGGCTGACAGGCCTGGCTGAATTCCTGCCTGCACACCTTGGAATCTCAAAAGCCTCCACATGAAAGACAAGGCAGCACTGAAGTCACTCTGAAGCACCATTTCCCAAAGCCTGCCCCCACTAAAATCACTCTGTGTACACAGAGTCTGTTGACTGAAGAGTTCCAGGTCAGCCTGGCACTGCTCATCCTCTGAGGAGGAGGAGGAAGAGCACAACAAATGAGAGCTGAAGGCAGCTCTGCCACGGGATCCCCAGTGCCACCAGCCCAGCTGGAGAAGGAAGAGCCTGGAGAGAGTGAAATGCCAAGCAGAGCCCAGCTGGGCTCGTGCAGCTCACAGGGCAGAGATGAGGGGTGGTGGTGTCCTGGCTCTGGGGGAGCTCTGAGCCCCATGAATCAGCTCCCAGCACCACAGGAAACCCCTGGGACCAGCCCAGCCCAGCTCAGAGGGGCCTGGCAAGGGCTCCAGCTGAGAAACATGCCCCACTCTGCCAGGAATGCACGTGGCTGTCCCAGGCACTGGATCCTGTTTGTCGTTTGCTACATCAAAAATCAAATGATCCGATCTATTTCTGTCGGCCTGCCATGGCCACCCCTCCATCCTCCTTTTTTCAATTATATTTAGCTTCAGATTTATCATAAGGGCTATTTCTGACCATTAGTCATGACTGAGCCCTTCAGCTTATCACTAAAATCTCCTGGTAGTGATGCCTGCAGGATCCTGGGACATTCTGGGGGTTTTCAAGGAGCTGGGATGCACCAGCCTTGCCTAAAAACACACCTGGAATGGGAGCCTGGAATGGGGAGCCCTGGAATGGGGAGCCCTGGAATGGGGAGCCCTGGAATGGGGAGCCCTGGAATGGGGAGCCCTGGAATGGGGAGCCCTGGAATGGGGAGCCCTGGAATGGGGAACCCTGGAAGGGGGAACCCTGGAAGGGGGAGCCCTGGAAGGGGGAGCCCTGGAAGGGGGAGCCCTGGAAGGGGGAGCCTTGGAATGGGAGCCCCGGAATGGGGGACCCTGGAATGGGGAACCCTGGAATGGGGAACCCTGGAATGGGGAACCCTGGAATGGGACGCCTGGAATGGGGAACCCCGGAATGGGGAACCCTGGAATGGGGAGCCCTGGAATGGGGAGCCCTGGAATGGGAGCCCCGGAATGGGGAGCCCTGGAATGGGGAACCCTGGAATGGGGAACCCTGGAATGGGGAACCCTGAATGGGAAGCCCTGGAATGGGGGACCTGGAATGGGGAACCCTGAATGGGAAGCCCTGGAATGGGAATCCTGGAATGGGGAACCCCGGAATGGGGAGCCCCGGAATGGGGAACCCTGGAATGGGACGCCTGGAATGGGGAACCCTGGAAGGGGCAACCCTGGAATGGGGAGCCTGGAATGGGGAGCCTGGAATGGGGAACCCTGGAATGGGGAGCCCTGGAATAGGGAGCCCCGGAATGGGGGATCTGGAAGGGGGAGCCCCGGAATGGGGGACCTGGAAGGGGAGACCTGGAAGGGGAGACCTGGAATTGGGAGCCCTGGAATGGGGAGCCCTGGAATGGGATCCCCTCCCTGAAGGGATCAGGAGCTCAGCCTGTGCTCACTCCTGGCTGGGGTGGGGCTTTTTTGCTGTTCCAAAATGTTCCACTCCATGTCTCCACTTCCAGCAGGGAGCTCTGACAGCACAGGAGGAGCTGTAGAACTCTGGCTGCTGCTCTCATCCCAGGGAATGGTTTCCAAGGGCACGTTGTTTCTGCTGGGGAACTGCAGAGTCAACAGTTATTGTAAATCAAAAATGAGCTGCTTGTGCCATCCTTCCTTCCTTCCTTCCTTGCTTCCCAGGAAGTTGCTACCAGCACCAGTGTGGTCTGGGACTCCAAATAAAAACAAAGCACACCCCACAGGGAATAGACAGCTGAGAACAGACTGGTTTTCCCCAGTTACAGTCAGTGATTCAGGCCCCCCTCCATCCATTACCCCCTCCTATACAAATCCCATCTCAATTCCAAAGTGCAGCAATGAAATCTGCTCTGGAGACCACTGCTGAAAATGCTGTGGGATCATAAAGCCAACCCAAGATACCCCCAGAGGTCACATCTCAGCAACTTCAGAATGGAAATGGGAGCCTGAGCTCCAGATAAAAAAATAAAAATCAATATGACATTACATGTGCCACCAGGCCCATTTTTCCTGGAGAAGCTGTGCATGGCAGAGAAAATGCCTTAAACAAATATCTCAGTATCATTTCAAAGTGACAAGATGGATGAGCTTCACCACAGAACTCCAAGTCAGCTTAAAGGAGCCTATTTTTATCTCACTGAGTGAAATTCCTGCTCTCCTTCAGTTCTTCCATATTTAATCCCAAGCAGACTATTTTGTGTGGGATCCAGAAAGGGCTGAAAAGCTTCAAAGTACCTGCAATATTCAATATATCTCACACCACCACCCTTCCTTCACTCCCCTGGAGCTTCCTTGGTGTTCTCAAAAAATATTGGTATTTTTGAAGTCCACTGAACGATGCTGGCAGCTCTTAAAATCCTGACATTACTGATCTTCAAGCATCTTGATGCAATGGCTGCTCCAAAATTAGTTTTGAAGTGCTCTGCATCACAGAATTATCATCATTTCCCTTCATGCATCTCTCAATTGCAGAGCAGGAATCTCTGTTTAGCACCTCTGCTGTGCTGGCACTGTTCAAGCAATCCTTCATCTCACACAGGTGAGGCAGGGCAGGAAACATTCAGCAGATTCTTCCAAGATTTCCAGAGAAATAAAATGCAGGAAATATTTTTTTATTTCATTAAAAAAAAAAACCCTCTAAATGTCAGTCAGATTGCAGTGCTGCAGCAGGCAACAATCACCAAGAGAAAATGAAATGTTCAATCACCAGGTGAAAGAAAATGAAGCGAATAAAACAGCCCAAAACTCTGCAAACCTTCCCAAATCAAGATCCCTCAATGCAGGACTAAAAAGGCATTATTTAAACTCAATTTGTCCATAACAATCCAGCACAGTCACAGTGATCAATTTGGACTTCTCTGGGCTCTGTACAGTGAAGATCTGGGGTTTAATTCCAAGATCTGTGGTACCACCATTAAAAACAAAGCTTGGGTGGGTGTCAGCACAGCCATCCCCACAAGAACCAGCAAAAACCAGCTCAGCCTTTCTCATCCAAGGGAAAAAAAAAAGCCCAAGCAAAACCTGTTCCTCACTGAAGACAAGATGAAAAAAGTCACCTTATCCTGCTCCCTAATGCACCAGTATTTGCATAATTTAATACCAGAGCCCAGATAAACCCTTCTCCAAGTCAGGCTTTGGGGTTGGAGGTTAAAAACTGTGGCCACTTCTGCAGTTTGCAAGGCTCCTCTTGGTGCTGAACCAATTCTATTTTCCCCCCACAGCTCTAAAATCTTGAAGACCCTAAAAAAAACCGTTGCAAGCACTGAAATCTTCAATTCCCCTCAGAGCTGCCTCAGCTCCAAATTACTGCTCTCCCTCTATTCCAAACTTTATTACACCATGTGCTCCTTTGGTGCAGAAAGCAGGGACAGGACAAGGATTTCCTGGAGATTCCTGCTCCCAGGGAATGCCTCAATTCCCAGTGTCACCAGCAATCTGGCATCTCCACACACATGGCAGCAATTATTTACAACGTGCCCGTGCAGGAAATGTTTGCCCAAGACTTGAGCATATGAGGGAATTTTGTCACACATCTGATGTAAAACAGGTGCTTGTGTTGGGGGTTGTTTTCTTTTTTTCCCCCCCACTCTTTTTTCCAGGCCAGAATTTGTGGTTTTAGAAGCATATTGGGAGAAAGAAACCAAATATCCAAAAAGGTGAGTAAATGTTTTATACTTTAGGGGATAAAATGTAGGAAATTCCCTGCTTTTGGTCAGAAATGCAAGAACTTCCTGTGAATATGTAAAACCTGGAAGGCAAGGACAATGTGACAGGAACTGTAACTGTCAATGGACTGATGTGAGCACATGGAATTAAGAGATAACATTTGTAGGAAGTTTGCAATTCACAACATGGCAACCTTTCATAACCTCTAGAAATCTCTCCATTTGGCACCCACCAAAATTAGGGTGATTTCTCTTTTCTCTAGGGGTAAAACTGTCATGGAAAATTTTGAAAAAACGATGGCTTTGTAAAAACAACCCAGGGCCAACGAGAATTTCAGCGCAGATCAAAAGGGGGAGGAGTGAAGGAGATAAAGATCAAATGTTGGCTTCCTCTGCCAAATAAATACACAACTTTGAGCCCAAGCAGCCCTGCAAGCTGGATTTTGGAGGCTGGCGGGGAGTGGGCACCAGCAGCTCCCCTGGCCTGACCAGTGTGATGTGTAAGCACTTAGTGAGCAGCAGGGACAGCCAGAGCTGAGCTATTGTATGAAAAATAGCCCTGCTATAACCGTGGTTATTTTAGGGAGCAGGCATGTGCTCCAGGATTTGCTGGATAAATGTCACTCTCTAAAATTTAACACGGCCCAGCAGTGGGTTTGGGCTGTGGAAAAAGGCATTTCAGTGCTGCAGCAAATAAAACAAAATGACTGAAGAGCTTCTGACACACTCCCACGTGGTGTTACCTGCGTGTCCATCTTGAACCTTCCCTACTTCAGCCCTTTTCCCCTACAGTGCTGCACCAAAGCACCTGAATTCCAGCCTGTGTCTGCTCAGGAATCCCATTTTTCACTGTAATGGCACATTCTGTGTGCAGTCCTGAAGATGCCTTCCTATAACTGCCTATTCAGTGGTCACAAAAATTTATATTAAAATAAATTAGTATCTAAGGCAAGGGGTTACCTCACAACCCTGCCAGCAAACAGAGCAATTAATTATTCCCACTCCCAATATTTTTGCCAAAAGTTTGGACATAACTGAGTAATAAGCTGTTTTATCAATCTCACCGGACAGGTTAAAAAGCCAGGTGTTACAGACTTCTGGGAAACTTGGCTGATGTTTAAATTAATACAGGGAACATAAAGGAGTTTTTACTTTTGAAACATTGTAATGTCTTCACATGTAAGACTGGAATATTATGGAAAACACGAGGGACACTTTGAGGCCAGTAAAAAGCAGCCACGAGAACACCAAAATTCTTGTCGAGAACCCTGAGCAGACAATTTTAAGCTCCAACCAGCACTCTTGGCTGAGTGTTCAAGGGTGAGCATTGATACCTAGTTTTAAAATTCGACTAATTTCCTAAGGAAACCCCAAGTTAATTATGTATCCTGCTGTGTTTAGGAAGCACCTTCGCAGCTCAAATAATTGAGGCACCAAAAAGTTTAGGGGCTCTGTGCTACGAGCCAAAACGGCTTCTCAACTATCTGAACAGAAAAAAAGAAATATTAAAAAAAAATTTAAAAAAGAGAGAGAGATAAAAAGCCTTTTAAAAAAATAATCTTGCTACGAAAGTTAGGGCGTTATTTATTTCATTAAGTATCCCGGAGACACGCAGCAGAACACCCAACCGGGCCCTAATCCTGACTCAGGCTTTTAGGGGCCGCTCGGAGGGATCGTTCCTGCAGCAATTCCGCCGAGCGCACGCCGCACCGGGGCCGCTGGGCCAGGGCCGGGCCGAGCCCCGGCGGGCGCGGCCGCCCGGGAGGAGCCGCGGCCGCTGCCGGGCCCGAGGGGCCGCGGAGCCCCGGAGCGACCCGGGCGGGCCCGGCCGCTGCCCCTCGCCGGGAGCCCCCGGGCCCAGGCCCGGCCGCGCCCGGCCCGCAGCGCGGCCTCGGCGGCTCCTTCCTCCCTCCCTGCCCGGCCTGCCCTCCCTCCCCGCCCGGCAGCGCCGCTCCCGCCTCCCCGCGGCTCAGGGCGGGCTGGGCCGCGGCCGGGCCCCGCCGCGCTCACCTCCAGGTCGCGGCCTTTGTTCTTGAAGTTCTTGAGGCGCTGGTTGTCCAGCTTCTCGTTGTCGGCCATGGCGGGGGCGGCCAGGGAGGAGCGCGGCCCCTCCGCCTCCGCCCGGGCCCGAGCGCGCCGGGGGCCCGGCGGGCCCGCTCTCGGCCTCGGCGAGCCGGGAAGGGCCGGGGCGAGGGGGCGCCGCTGCGGGGCCGGGTGTGGGGGCCCGGAGCGGGGCCGGGCGCGGTGCGGCGGGCAGGAGCGGGGCCCGGAGCGGGCGGTTCGGAGCGGGCCCGGGCCGGTCCCGGCGGCCCGAACGCGCCGGTGCCGCCGAGCGGGGGAAGGGACGGGGCGAGCGAGGCTGGGAGGGGGGAGCGGGGCCAGCCTCGCTCTGGGCGCCGCCGCCCATTGGCTGCGCCCCGCGCGCCCCGCGGCCAATGGCGGCGGAGAGGGAGAGGGCGGGAGCGGTGACGCAGCCCGGGCGCGGGGAGGGAAGGAGGGGCCGCCTCAGCGCCGCCGCCATCTTGGGCGCTGAGGGGCTGAGGGGAGGGGCGGCGGGACGGGCGCTCCCCGCGCCTGCGCTGCTGCCGGGAAGGGACCAAAGTTAATATTTTAATCCTTCCCCCAACTGCGCTTTCCCTTGGCTCCCCTCGTGAAGCCGGCAGTTTACAGTTTAATCCTTCCGCTCGCTACACTTGGCATTCACTTCCCTCACGGAGCCGAAAGCTGACCCCTGAATCGCTCTCTCCCCTACACCTTACATTCAGTCCCTTCATAGAGCCGAAAGTTAATAGTTTAATCCTTCCCCTCAATAAAGTTTGCATTTGCCACTATTATGGAGTCAAAAATTAAGTTTAATCCTTCCCCTCATTACACTTTGCATTTATTGCATCATGGAGCCGAAAATTACACTTCAGTCTTTCCCCACACTCAGCATTCACTAAGAATAATCCCCCTTCCTCTCAGTCTTCCAGAATTTTAGCAAAAACAACAAAAAAAAGCTGCTACAGAAACTTTAAATTCTTAATGAAATAAGATAAACAGTATTGAAAGCAATAGAGAGATACACTTGCAGAGCAGAGGGGATGGTAATTTTGTTCCTACTTGTGAAATTTCACCTGGAAAATAATGCCTTTGTGCCATTCCTCGAAGAATTCTCTAGGATATGTATATAAATAAACAAATAAATAAATATATAAACATACTGCCCTCATCCTGCCTGTAGTCTCTACTCATTTTTAATGATTGGAAATGAACTCTGTGAAGTCTTCATTGTTGATAGAGCTCATTATCATTTTCCATGATACTTGCTGAGAAAAGTCAAAGTTGTGACAGGAGATGCTTTTCCCAGCCGTGGAAATGAAGCCACCAAGTCCCTCAGAGACTGAGGAAAGAGAACTTGGTTTAGCTCCCGGGGAAAACACAATGATTTTTCACACTATGTGTGTTCTATCTCTGGATGTTTCCCAGAGAATGAGGTTTGGCTCTAGATAGTTCTCAAAAAAAACCCCAAAAGTGACAGAGGCTGAGTCACCGCAGCCCCATCTGCTGCATAAACGTAGCAGCGATGTCACAGCAATATGAGGAAGGTAAATTAGTCAGGGCTAATTAGTGCTGGTGGTATTCCATCCAGGCATGGCTTGTCTCAGTATCTAAAGCCTTTTCTCCAAACCTGGTGGAGGACAGCAGCCCTTTCACATCCCAGTCTGCATGGACAAAAATGACATTTTCTAGATACAGCTATTGACTTTTGAAAACGTAATGCGGATTCTCTATGTAGTAATGCTGTAGAAGACTACACAGAGATAAAAAAATTTTTAAAAATTAGTATCTTTAGTTAGTGCTCTGTTTCATTTACAGGCTGAGCTAGTTAGGATTGTTCAGCCTAGAGAAGAGAAGGCTCTGGGGAGATCTTAGAGCCCCTTCCAGAGCCTAAAGGGGCTCCAGGAGAGCTGGAGAAGGACAAGGGATGGAGGGATAGGACAGGGAATGGCTTTGAACTGCAAGGGCGTAGGTTTAGATGAGATATTAGGCAGAAATTCTCTGATGAATAATGAAATTGGACTCTGGTACTGCATGTTCCATTCCTGCCCAGTGCTCAGAACTAGTCAGAACATGATGGTCAAAAATACCCCCTGTGTCAGACCCAGCCTGGAATTTTATGAACGGAAAGAAAACCCTTTTATTCCATCGGTGCCCTTTTCATCAGCACCTTTCCCATGTCTTTGTTACCCCAGCCACGCTCATCCCACAGCTTGGTGTGGTCAGGGGAGGATGGAGAGGGAAAGGCAGCACATCCTGGCCTGACTCAGAGCCCAAAGCAGGGCCAGTGACCTCGCAGGGAAACCATCCCTCTGCTGCCCTTCCTTCCCTCCGTGCTCCTGGAAAGGACAGACCAGGTCAGGGGCTGAGCAACAGCCCCAGTCCTGTATGAGAAACCACCTGAAAATAACTGAGAATCACCTGCAGAGTCTTCCTCCACAGCCAGCCCTGCCCAAAAATCACCTTGCTGCACCTCCTCGCTGCTTTTACTATGTATATATTGGGAAAAAAATGTAAAATAGATACAATTTATTTATTTATATTAGTATTTACTAATATTTTTAGTAAAAATATGTCAAATATAAAAAACTTATCTACTTATATTAGTACTTACTAATATTTATTAGTAAAAATATGAAAATATAAAAAAAAGTATTTACTTATATTAGTATTTACTAATATTTATTAGTAAAAATATGTAAAATATAAAAAACTTATCTACTTATTTTAGTACTTACTAATATTCATTAGTAAAAATATGTAAAATATAAAAAAACTTATTTACTTATATTAGTATTTACTAATATTTATTAGTAAAAATATGTAAAATATAAAAAAACTTATCTACTTATATTAGTACTTACTAATAATTATTAGTAAAATATGTAAAATATATAAAATTTACTTATATGAGCATTTACTAATATTTATTAGCAAAATATATAAAATATATTAAATGTATTAACTTCTATTAGTATTTACTAATATTTATTAGTAAAAATATGCAAAATATAAAAATCTTATCTACTTATATTAGTAAATACTAATATAAGTAGTATATTAGTATTTACTAATATTTATTGGTAAAATATGTAAAATATACAAAATTTACATACATGAGCATTTACTTATATTTATTAGCAAAATATATAAAATATATAAGACTTATTAACTTCTATTAGTATTTACTAATATTTTTTAGTAAAAATATGTAAAATATTAAAAAACTTATTAACTGGGCTCTCTTGAAAAACAAACAAACAAGCAAACAATTGGATATTTTGATTCTGAATGAGTTTTTTTTACTAAATCAGGTTTTTTTACAGTTTTTTTACTGAGAGTGCCTACAACATAATAAATTATGCATAAACCACAAATTTTCGTGGTATGGTGCTGTTCAGACTTCATGTGATGCTACACAACAAAGCTCTGCTTCTTTGTTATTTTTTGCATATTTTTTTAGCTTGGAACATAATAATGCAAATGTAAAGGTGGGAATTAGGCTCTGCTCACCTTCCTACCCTTCAAGCAACAGATAGATTTGATTTACTAAGAGTTTACATTTTGTTTACAAGGCACAATTTGTGAATTTTGCACCTCATTATGCAATTAGAAAATGTTTAATTCTCAGCTTGTCTTAAACACTTCTTTTGAGTAATAATGTGAATTGATCTGAATGCTTTTATTAATGTATTAGTATAAATATGTATAAAATGGATGAAATTTATTTACTAAATGTACACTTAGGTGAAAGGAGCTCCTGCAAATGGGTTTCCATGGCCCTATCTCCCTCCTATAAGGAACAAAATGTTATGTAAAGCTGCAAAGATTTGTGTTGCACACAGAAAAACACCCATTAATCCCAGGGTTTATCCAAATGGAATAGCTGGTATTAACAAAGAAGCAGCCCACTGCTGGGAGGATATTTTATAATAATCTTTCAGCTGGTGTGTTCAGACAGGTTTGAAGGGGATTTTTGGTGGGAGTTGACTGAAGTGCTTTGGATGAGAGGAGGAATCCAAGGTTTGGCCCACGGACACTTGGGCAGCTCTGCTGGCTCCAGGCTGGGCTCACACTCACTCAGGGAGGGACATTTTTATTGCAGAGCTGTAGAGCTCCTGGGTGTGCTTCCCCTTGGGTTTGTTCATTTAGAACCACTGGTTACGCTGCATTCTGCTTTTTTTTTTCTATTTCGAAAAAAAGAAGCATTTCCACTTTGAGAAAAGTACTATTCAGGTGGGGTGGTACTTAAAAACTCACTTTTAAAAATCAGCTTCTTAAAGTGATGGACTGCACAGGCTTGAAAAGAAAAATCAGCTCCACACGTTTGCAGTATGACAGGATTCAAAGCCTTTCCCTTTCTAACCCTTCACTTGTGGCACACAAATCCTCTCAGACCAAGGGCCTGCTGTGGCATGTTTCCTACAACTCAGCCCATAAATGTTCACTTTTTCATGTGCTAAACCAGAGCTTTTGCAGACAGATTTGTAGGTCATGACGTGACCATGGGCAAAAATGTTCCTTGGTACAGAGCAGGAGTAGATCCCAAAAATCCATCGGCTGCAAATGGCCCAAGAGAAGAAGAGGAATCAATCCTCAATCAGCAGAGTGTGGAGCTGCACTTCCCTGCCCCTGTCCAGCTGCTTTGCCTTTCCAGCACAATTTCCTATTAAAGGAAAGGGAAAAATTTCATTTGAGATAAAAATGAAGAAATGGTTACTGAGATGAGCCATGACAAGTTGCCCTGGAAGATCCAGGGATGTGGTTTTTCCATGTTAAAACAAATCCTTGTAGCATTGCTGATGGTGGGACAGGGACAAAAAATGCTTCTGTCTCTGGTTTGGGGTGAGTTCAATAATATTTCTAAAAGGAAAGGAAAACTTCTGATCTGCTGGAGCTCCAATATTCTGGATCCTATTCCACTCGACTGCAGGAAGGGAATTTGCTTTTCCATCCTCAATTCCTCAGGTTTCCAAAAGGAAGGCTGATCATTGGAGCTGTATTTGAAAACTCAATCTACACAAATGCTCAGATAATTAAATGGTGGTAGGTGTTAGGTGATGTGGTTCATGTTGCACACAGAAACACTGATAGGATCATGAAAACAGAGACATTTTGGGGAGCATCTCAGGTTTAAACTTTTATTTCTGGCTGTTAACACTTGCAGGGAGCAGAGTTTAGCTCATAAAACAGCACCAAACCCAAGATGCAACAAAAATGTAAATGTCCAGATGCAGATTGCTATTGTCAGTGCTGTGTCTCGGGCTCATTTTGAAAGGAAACTCGAATACATGGCTGAATAAA